GAATATTTTTCGAACTTCTTCAAGTCCTCCTCGAATTCATGGATCGTTTCCTCATCTTCGTCCATCCATTCGACCCTTATCACCTCATATCCATTGACCTCTCGATAGTTCCAGGCGACGCGGTATTTCTCCGGTGCCACCACGTAGAGATAGTTGGGCTTCCATATGGGGGACCCGCCATACCCCTCTACTATCTTCCTAGAACCAGAAGTCAGATTTCTCTTTACTATATACCAATCTTCGAAACTTGTCGAGGGTGTGGATACTCTAAAGAAATATCTCCAAAGGAACAGGCACGGTTCCACCCCACTCGTTGACAAATTTTCACAAATCCAAGAACGTAGGTGATCAAGTTCGGGGTGAAGCGTGCTAAGGGGATTTTATAATAATCTACAATCTCCTTGAACAGAGGAAAAAGGGGGAATCTCAGGCCTAAGAACATGAACCTATCATATATGGTGATTTTGCCTTCTGGAGGAGTATTGGCTCTCTCGTTTCCTAGAGGGGCTCTAGCTTCTAGTCCTAGGGGCAGATCATATTTGGTTTTTACAGAGTTTACCTTCTCGACACTATCTATAGTGGATGCAAAGTCGTCAACAGATTTCTGGTTTGGATCCCTAGTCATGCTTATCTATTTGCGGAAAAAATAGATATTTACGCTACAATTTCAAGGGAAGAAAGATCTAAAATGAAATTCAAATGGACGGATCTGAGAACTTATTGTTGGAGGGGGGAAAGACCACTCGCCTTTTGAATTGTAACTTCCCAGTTTCCTCTCGACTCCACATCTATCCGTCTTCCTGTGGTAACGTTGCTGGGGCAATATACCGGATGGGCTTGTGAATATTCCGGCAATAGCCACTGGAGCGTTTTGACAGAGAATGTAGATTTGGCTTTCTGGAGGAAAGGCAGAATTGTGAAGTTTTTCGGTCTCAATTTTTAAGACCAAAGTTAGGCTTCCCCACGTCTCTTAAATTAAAACCCACGACTTGGTAGTTGGGGTGTGTTTTAGGGGACAATGATGGTGAAGCCGCCGTTTGGGGAGCGTGCCCGATAACAGCGAGAGGATTAATGCTTTGGGCAGGATTCTAGAGCGGGTCGTTTCCCCGGGTCGAGTTTTCGCCCGTGAGTTATGTATTAGGTCTACTCGATACAGCATGGGCCGAGTCTTATACATTCAATCTGAGCCTGCTCAATATATTGCAATACGAGACTTGTGCTGTCACTCAAGGGCCCGTTCCAGGTGACATTTCAAGTATTATTTATCTTATACAACTAACACTTGACAGGGGCACTTGATGAGTCCATATTCATCACCGAGACTGGACCGATCTATTAACAGGGAAAGGAGTCCATCCGACTCTATTAGGGCAGTTTAGGTTGTATAAACCTAATAGGATTCGGAGACTTCCCGGGGATTCTCATGTCTATAAATAGGTTTGATCACACCGCAATACAAATACGTAATCTATAGCTTAACACACTACGTGCTCAGACATTCCTAAAACCCCTTACTGACTTAAGTATCGGAGTGTCTACCCTCGGGAGACCCCCGAGCCTTTATTGCAGGAAATCCTAGCCAGAGTTCCCCTGTGAGACCGGCGGTGCAAAACCAAGCTTCGTCATTGTCAATTCGTGAAGATCTCTATTTATAAAAGCATTTGCCACGCCCGCACGTGTTTGATTGAGGTATTGAAAATGTAATTCAAACGTTAAAGATATACCGTATTTGTTTCGAATGAACCAAATCCAATGGGGACTTAAGTTCAAATTAAGGACGTACCACGAGCTCTTTTAGATTGATTAATCGATCTGTTCATCTCATTTTAACGCAATTAATTGCTGAAAGTTAGAAGGATCCGGTGGATTAATCTGGCATGATTGGAGTGATGAAAAGTGTGTACAACTCAAGAAATACAAAGAGGCAATCCCAAAGAAGAGAAACGAATGGAAGAAAAGAACAGAAGCATGAAGGAAACAAAAGTAGCACTGATCATGAGGGATTTGAAACTTACAAATTCTTTGATAACCTAATGATGGTTTTGTCACTGGAGTAGAAAGAAATGAGGAAGAGTTGCAAGACTCTCGTATTAAGTGTGTACTCCTCTGTCCCAAGATTATTGTCCAGTTTAAGATTTCACTTTTAGTACAATTTGAACTAAAAATTAAAATACGAACGGGACAATAATTATGGAACGGGGGGAGCATTATATATTAGTGAACACCCAATTATGAAACGAGATACTGAAGACAAAATTGTGTCCGAAGGCCCCAAACAGAACAACTAATCCATTCTGGAACGAAGACCTGATAAATTGTAGCTGCTGAGCCCTTTCAAGTTGGTGCTCACAGTTGCAAAAAGAACACGAAATGAGCTCATCCAAAGATGAAAAAACTTGCAAATGAACATCTTTGAAAGACGGTTAGATCACCGCCAATAGTGGAAGCAGCCAATCGCAATTGTTGAAGTCGGCATCTTAATTTGACTGTGGGTAGATAGTACCACCATTCGGTGAAGAGTTATCAGTTTCTTGCACACAAATTGTTTTGTATCATTGTCATACTTCATGATTTTGGTTTCGATCTCCAAAACTTAGTGTCTCCTCTATTTGTTCCCAAGTAAAGTGAAACGCAAGTTGGAAGTTCTTCCCCTATGGTTGCAGAACTAAAAGTTCTAGCGTTGATTTGCTTTGCCGATTCTGGAGTCCCTCTTGGCTGGTTTTTCCATCGGCTCCCAAGCGGCAATTATCAAAGACTCCAAATATTATAAAGTCTTTACAGAAGCTCATGAGGTTCCACCTCAAAACCAATTGACTATGAGGGGAGTAGCTCATGGAGCTTATATATTGATATCTGTCTCCTCCCAACACACCGATATGGGATTGGGATTCTCAATAGTGTCAAGGATCATAAGTTTCCGTTCATTCCATTTAGGAATCCGATGATCAGTGTCTTCACAATAGCTGTTAACTAGTCCGAGGTTTGGTACAATGTGGGAACTGGGAACCCAAACATGCACCAAAATTTAAAAAAACCAAAGCTCTTCATTTCTTTACAGATTGAAGGTACACTGTACCTGTGGATTCTTGCCCAAGCTGGTTAAATTCTGCCCAGATGCAGTGAGCAAGACACACAATGAGGGTTGATTGGAGGTACGGAAGCTAGAGAAGCCTGTGAGGAAAGCTGTGATAATGTTTGAGGGTAGAATATTAGTATTTTGACCATGCGTCACTGGCTCACTCTGCCGTATAGACCATTCAACCACCGCCTCCTATATCACAAAGCATGAAGGAAGGAAGGAAAAGTCAAATTCTTTGTCAGACTCCCAAAAACTAAGGTACAACAAAAAATCTATAAAGTACTTCAATACGTTCTCTCATCTTTTCGAATTTGTCAAGGAGAGTAGGAACGGTGGCTTGTAAACCAAAAAGGTTAAAACCAGCACTAAAACAGTTGAATCAAGACCATTTTGATGATATAGAAGTGAAAGCTAAAGCTGCCCAGGAGGCCCCGAAAGATTTACAATTATCTGTCTCTTTTCCAGTGGGATATAAGGCTACAAAAGGGTGACTGATCTACTTAGCGAAGTGTTTGTTTTGTAGGAATCGAAAGATTGGAATTATTTGGGCAAAAAGGACTGAATTAAAGAAGATAACTAAAGCTAGGAACCGAAGTAAGGATCTGAAGAAGTGAGAGACAAAAGTAAAGAAGCTGAAGACTTGGAGGAGCTGCGCTTTAAGTACTAGATTAATGAAACATCATGCTCGCAGTGTAGGATCTTCCGATCATCTGTTTCTTGAGTGCGAATATTCTAGCTACCTACAGCAACTCAGGGACTTTGGAGGAAGGAAATTCAGCTGATTTGGCACAGAACGAAGCTAAAGAAATTGATCTTATATTCAACCATTACAGCTAGTATTTACCATGTCTGGGAGGACTATAATCTGAGATGAGAGGGATGGGTCTATCAATATTTAATCAGTACTTCCCTCATGACAATGTAATAGAATAGCTGTAAATATTGCCTTTTTGGTGCTGATGTTAATATAATGCTTGCATTTTTAACAAAAAAATATTTTGTTCTGGAGAGTGATCCTCATGTGAAGAAAGATTATTGTAAAATTGGTTATGAAATAGAATTTACTGTTTACCCAAGAAAACAAAAAAAAAATTGAAGTAGTCCATACCATAAATGGTGGATCTGCTGTTTTTGCCTCACGGAACTGCCACAAGAAGACAATAACAATTGTTAAAACAAGACAAAGGTCCCAGTACTTAAGAAACATTTAAGCATACACAACAAAATGCGAGGCAGGAATTGCCATGCCACTTGGATGGAAAGATTTATATAGAGAGACGACAACCGAAAGCTCAAATACATTTGCATGGTACATGCACCTGGACGGATAAAGAAGACAAGAAAGGACACGCTTTAAGAAACCCCACAAAAAATATTAGACTTGCGCGGGGGGTCGTGCCAATAAACATATCAAGCTGTTTGAGACTCCTCATGTGGGGGAGACGTTAGAAATATGAGAAAGGCCCTCAACAGGAATCTCTTCCTGATCAAAGCAAAGCATAATTGAAATGGTTAGTAATGATACATAATTCACAAATATAACAACAAAAAGAAAGAAAAAGAGATGGTCATTCTAACCGGACGAGAAATATGCATGGCCACCTTCTCCAATTGATTTGAATACACTTCATGCACTTCCTCTCTGTGAAGAAAAGACATGAAATAACGTGTGTCCATGATAACCTCAGATAAGAGAGGGACATTTTCAAAGCAAAAAGTCTATCATCCATCTAGGATGGTCAAGATATCTTTTGTACTCAAAATACACAAGTTTTGCACCCGAAATCTTCAATGTTTTCCGATCCCAACAAGAACCTAAAGTGAAGTACTTGAGGAAGGGAGAGTTAACAACACTCAGGTTCCTCAAACATGTTCCACCTTTTAAATACAATCGTTCAAGAAATGAACAATTGGATAAAATTTAATCCATCGTCTCGTCGTCAATGTTAAAATTAACAAGCTTCAAGGATGTTAAGGAAGCAAAGCAACTCGTGTTAGAGAGGGGAAACGTTAACAACTTCTCCAAAACAGGGAAATTATATCCACAGGAAGACAAATCAGGGATACTGAACGGAGGCACGAAGCGAAGCTTATAATGGCCCACAGCCTCCGTCAAAGAGATATCACCAGAAGCTTCCAGTTCAAGAACTCTCACTTGTCTTTGCACAGCAAATTGAATCCAATCACATATCACAAGATCAGTGACGTTAGGCGATCGGAGGTTCAGGCGAATGCTCAACTTATCTATGTTTGAACAGCGATGCAATGCCATAACTTCGGTCACCGAAGAAATGAAAGAAGCATCATTTCCCCCAGTAGCTGCATCACTCCCAGAAAAATCAAAAGCCAAATTACGAGAAGCGAACCTCCATAAATATTGATGAATATATGTAAATATGTAAATATTACATAGATTGTAAATAAGGAGTTGAGTGTAAATACTTGTACTTATTTCTATATATGTACATAGCTACAGGACTTAGTTGTAATTACATAGATTAGACTAGTCAACTAAGTTAAAGTATATAAGTCATGTTGTACATATTTGGAACTTCAAGTTTTCAGTAAATACAATCTGAAATTCATTCCTTCGATAATGGTAGTTACAAGAACCCTAGATCTTGATTTCCAGTCTTCTTGGTTCGTCCTGCCTGATAATCGTCGGATTCTGTCACCACTGTTAATTCCAATTAAGATTCTGCTGTCAATTCTATTTTTCACATCACAACTCCTATCTTCTCTCGATTGTTCGATTTCTTGAAGAAAATGGCAGATAGGAACAACAAAGGTGATGCAGGTGAACAGAGAGAACGTCGTACCTTCGAAGATGACGGTCGGTTCCAAAGGAATCCAGATGATGACCATGAGCAGAGGGAGACTCGCCGTCAGTTCAGAGATGAAGATCGATTTCGCCAAGAAGAAGACCTCGCGAATTTAGGTATATATGCTCATCCTTTGTCATTACATCCATCAGATCATTCTGGAATGTCAATTGTTGGAATGAAGCTTTCTGAATCTAACTATATCTCTTGAAGTCATGCTATGCGTATGAATTTGGGAACTAAGAATAAACTAGGGTTTATAAATGGCGAATATCCACAACCTCATGCATCTAGTCCAGATTATGCTCAGTGGATTAGGGTAAATAACACAATCGTAGGCTGGATATTGAATTCACTATCAGAAGAATTGCATGATGGGTACATATTAGCTGCAAATGCAAGGGAATTATGGCTGGATTTACAACAGAGATTTGGGGGTATTAATGCTTCTAGGATATATCATCTTAAGAGAGATATCAGTTCCATTACTCAGGGAAACATGTCGTTATCCAGCTATTTCACAAGGCTCAAAAGGTTATGGGATGAATTGTCCCATATTGATCCTCCATATATATGCACTTGCAGTGGTTGTTCTTGTAGATTGGATCGTAGCTATGCTGCAAAGGTGGAAAGGGACAAGATGATGCAGTTTCTGATGGGCTTAAGTGAAATATACGAAGCAGCTGAGAATCAGATTCTGACTATGAGACCTCTTCCAGATGTGAGAGCAGCATATGGTATGGTAGAACACATTGAAAAACAAAGGAGTGTACAGCTGATTTACACAAGCTCTCATGATCACAGTGCAATGATGACTCAAGGTTCCATGATCACTGCTTCTCCGGGAACACATGCACAACAGGGGACTGTAAGTACTCAAAACAGTGCTATGTTTGTGCAAAAATGCAAACCTCATAAGGAGGAGAAGAATGGACTTTGGTGTGATCTGTGTAAGAAATCAAATCATAATCAAGAAAATTGTTTTTGCATTCATGGTTACCCCGACTAGTAGAGTGTTCCTGGTAGTAACAAGGGTCCAAAGAAGTTTGGTGGCATGAAGAATATGGCACACATGGCAAATACTCCTCTAGAATTGATCTCTCTGAATAACAGCAGCAATGTTAGGTATAATGGCTCAGGGTCTATGATAGTTCCAAGCACTGCAAGTATGGGTTATAATGGATATGCTGGTTCAGGTGCTAAGATGATTCCTCCACAACATCAGGGACCAGAGAACTTACAAGCCATAATGTTAAGTCTCAATTACCAGCAGCAGGAAATGAGTAGGATTGCAAACGTAAAAGGAGTTCAGACTGATAGCAGTGGCCAGCTTGTCAACTTTGCTCACTACGCAGATTTCGTAGGTAAGAACTATGATCTCATTCTAGGTACGGTTGATATGATCAAACCTGGTAGTTGGTTTATGGACTCTGGTGCAACTGGCTTTATGACTAATGATTTAGAACTTTTAAATTCTTATAATCCTGTATCTCATACTACACCGGTATATCTACCTGATGGAAGTGTGAAATACGTAAAACACATAGGAGATGTAACCTTTCAAATACCTTAACACTCTGTAATTGCCTTCATATACCTGATTTTAAGTTCAATCTTATTTCAGTTAGTAAGCTAGCCAAAACAGCCAGGATTGATACCCTTTTTTCTGATGATTGTTGTATACTGCAAGACCAGGGGAATAAAGGAATTGTGGCTGTTGGCAAACTTATTAATAGACTTTATGTGGTAGATCATGAATCTTTTAGTGAAGCGTATATCATGAGTTTTGTTCAATTTCATGTAAATCCTCGCTTCTTATCTGTTTTTACCAATAAAGATACACCTCATACTGCATGTAATACGATAGAAAGTAAGGATAGCATATGGCATTATAGGTTAGGGCATCCGTAGGCAAATGTAATCAGACATATACCTTCTCTATCTCTTGAAATAAAAGATGATCTTGTTTGTGACATATGTCCTTTATCTAAACAACACCGTTTACCCTTTCCTGTAAGCCAAACTAGAAGCTCTCAGATTTTAGACCTTATACACGTAGACATATGGGGGCCTTTCAAACAACCTTCTTTAACAGGTTGTAGTTACTTCCTTACTATCGTAGATGACCACAACCGAACTACTTGGACTTTCATGATGTCCAGTAAAATACAAACCATACCCATTCTTGACAATTTTTGCAGGATGGTTCAAACCCAATATCAGAAGTCAGAAAAGGTTGTTAGGTCTGACAATGGCTCTGAATTCATGAGCCATGTTTGTCAAGCTTTATTTTCTTCCCTAAGAATAATCCATAATAAGACTTGTGTCTATACCCCACAACAAAACGGTGTGATCGAAAGAAAACACCAACACCTAATTCAAATGGCTAGATCTTTGCTGTTCCACTCTCATCTTCCTAAGTGTTTTTGGGGGTAAGCTGTACTCACAGCCACATATATAATAAACAGATTACCGACACCTGTTTTGGATTGGAAAACACCTTTTGAGTTGCTCACTCACAAAATACCTGATTTCACCCACTTAAAAACCTTTGGTTGTTTGTGCTTTGCCACAAACAATCTTCCCCGGCGGGATAAATTTGATGAGAGAGCCATTAGATCCATATTCCTAGGTTATCCCCCGGGACAAAAGGCATACAAACTATATGATCTAAAAACTAAGAGAATCTTTGTTTCAAGAGATGTCATCTTTCGTGAAAATATTTTTCCTGATCAGTCATTTGTTTTTAATACTGAGATATCTTTGCCACCATCCACTTCCACATTTGATTTTCTTTATCATGATTCGCATCATACAAATTACTCTTCTCCCATTGAGCCTCTATTCTAGCCTGATATGTTTGATCATGATCCCACTAATCACTCAAACGAATCTCAGGACTACACAGCTCACCCGACTCAAGATGAACTCTCTCATTTGAATTCCACGTCCCATAATCCTTCTACGTCAACTGTTTCTGATCCTATTTCCTCCTCTTCTTTACCTATTCTACGTCGTAGCTCTAGAATCAAACATCTTCCAGTCAGGTTACAAGATTATCATGTTGATCTACCACATGCAGCCCATACTTCTATCCAATACTCACCTACCATTCCAACCTCTTCCTCGTATACTCCGAATACTTTTCCCTATACTTCTAATCCTTGCTTTCGACCAGCCTACTTAGCTTTCTTAGCCAATATTAGTCAAGCACCAGATCCTGTAAACTATATGCAGGCTCGATCTCAACCAGAATGGGTGGATGCCATGAATGCTGAACTTGCATCTTTGGAGGCCAACCATACCTGGGAGTTAACCTGTTTACCACCCGAGAAACGATCCATAGGATGTAAGTGGGTCTATAAGACCAAATATAAGCCTGATGGAACTGTTGAACGCTACAAAGCTAGGCTGGTGGCGAAAGGTTTTAACCAAATAGAAGGTGTTGATTATATTGATAGTTTTTCACCTGTCGCGAAAATGGTCACTGTTCGAGTATTCCTTGCTATTGCTTCTGCTAGAAATTGGTATATTCATCATATCGATATCAACAATGCATTCTTGTATGGATATTTTTCTGAGGATGTTTATATGAAAAGGCCTGAAGGTTACACCAAAGGTCAGCCATCCCAAGTTTGCAAGTTGATTCGCTCTTTATACGGCTTGAAACAGGCCTCTCGCCAGTGGCACATTGAATTTGCTGCTCGACTTAAGAGTTTTGGGTTGCTTCAATCATATAGTGATCCATGCCTTTTCACTATGAAGTATCAAGATAATTTTCTAGCTTTGTTAGTATATGTAGATGATGTGCTCATTACCAGCTCCTCCGAAGATGCCATCCTTGCGGTTAAGACTTTTCGGCATCAGGCTTTCACCATCAAGGATCTTGGCCCTGCTAGATACTTTCTTGGAATAGAGATCGCCCGCAGTTTTGCTGGACCCTACCTTAACCAGAGGAAGTATGTGCTTGATATCCTCAAGCGCATGGGCTTGCTTGGCTGTAAACCTAATGCTACACCTTTGCCTAAGGGTCATTTTTTCCCTAAAGACAAGGATTGTGGTGCGTTGCTCTTGGATCCAACTGCTTATCGAACTGTCCTTAGTCAGCTTCTCTACCTGGGTTTCACACGCCCTGATCTTACATATGCTGTCCAACAGTTTACTCAGCACTCTCAGACACCCAGAGAGGCTCACTGGGATGCTAAGATGCATGTGTTGCATTATTTGAAGGGCTGTCCTTCCAAGGGTCTTCAGTACTCATCTAATTCTTCTCTGGATTTGCTGGCTTATAGCGATTCTGATTGGGCAAGCTGCAAGGTTACTCGACGCTCCTTGTCAGGTTTCTGCATCTTCCTTGGTTCCAGTCTGATTTCCTGGAAAACAAAGAAGCAGGACACCGTGTCAGCTTCATCAGCTGAGGCTGAATATCGCAGTTTGGGAACCACAGTTCGAGAGCTACGCTGGATTTCTTTCATCCTGCGTGATCTTCAAGTATCTCCAATTTTTCCTGTTCCTCTACCCTGTGATAATCATTCAGCACAGCATATTACCGAAAACCCTGTGTTTCACGAGCGCACGAAGCATTTGGAAATTGATTGTCACATCGTTAGAGACTATTATAAGAATGGCTTCCTCCAGCTTCATCACATCAGTACTAAGGACCAGCTTGCTGATTGTTTCACCAAGTCCCTTGCTGCTCCTCAGTTTACTGATTTCATTGCCAAGTTGGGCTTGATTGATCTTCATCAAGCACCACCTTGTGGGGGGATGATGAATATATGTAAATATGTAAATATTACATAGATTGTAAATAAGGAGTTGAGTGCAAATACTTGTACTGATTTCTATATGTACATAGCTACAGGACTTAGTTGTAATTACATAGATTAGACTAGTCAACTAAGTTAAAGTATATAAGTCATATTGTACATATTTGCAACTGCAAGTTTTCAGTAAATACAATCTGAAATTTATTCCTTCGATAATGGTAGTTACAAGAACCCTAGATCTTGATTTCCAGTCTTCTTGAAATATCTCCATCTATGAGAACGGACACTGGTACGTGCGGCTTCACGAATTGTTAAATATGAAAGAACTATTACAATGATCTCATCAGGAAAACTGTCCATGCTGCAATAAGCCTTCTAATCAATCTTCCTTGTCACCTAGGCAATGACAATAGAAGGTCTGAGTTTAGTTCGTGGGCTCCAATTAACAAAGAAAATAAATCAAAAGGATGTGAAAAAGCTAACTAAAACCAAAACAACTAAATGGCGTATTCTTCACTAAACATGATCAAACTCCTGATCCCCAAAAGAAAAAAAACCCAATCTTACAATGATCATCAGATTCAGTTCCAAAACAGCCCCATCCCATCTGCTCACTTCTCCAACAGGTAAAAGAATAAGGCAAGGACTTTTTTTTTTACTGTTTATAAACACTAATTCATACACAAATTCTCTCCTTCGGCCTTAACACAATCGGGATTGCTTTTCTAATGAGCAAAGAATAACAGCAGAAAAAGTACCCAAAAAAAAAGTGGACAGAGCAAACCTTCATGATGTTTCCGGTGATATATGGTGCGCTTCACAAGCTAAGCCTTCGTAAATCTGTTCTATCTGGTGTGCTTCACCTTGCGAGGAGGTGGGTCGAACCTTTTTTTTTTCCTTTTTCTTTCAACAGATGTGGCTGGTCAAACGTATTTATATATACAAGAGTTAATATCAAAAATCACCCCCAATATTTGGTTGATTATCCAAAATATCCATACCCTTTTAAAATATATACTACCTCCATTCCTATTTATAAGATACTTAGAAGATGCCTGGTTCAAAGGTTACTATGGGTTTGGAAATGAGATATAATAGTTTGAAGGATTGATTGAAAAGGGTTTCAAAACTCTAATTTTTAATTCAAGTGCTTGGTTCATATTTACACAAAATAGAGAATGGAAGAAAATTACATTTTTATCCTGCTTCCTTAACAAAACCACATCCCTAAATTTGAAGAAGTTAAAAAGCAGGGGTAGAAGAGGGAGATTGTTTTTGTTCAACTCCTGGGAGTCATACCTCTCAAGTTAATTAGGAATGAGAAGGAATCTCATTATTGAGTTTGAAAGCTATTTTAGTGGGGCCATGTTTCTAACCAAGCACCAAAATTAGGATTGGAAGTCATAGAAAGGAATTGACACCCTCTGACCAAGCACCTTCTTAGAGTTTGAACATGATTTTCCAATTCTTTTTTATATGGTATTTCACATTTTCGAGGTATCATTAAATGACTTTTTGCCTTTCTTTACCCTCATAACTAACCAATTCACAAATTTATTCAACCGCTTCATCAATGCTATTAAGAATAAATTAAAAAATTCGCTATAATTTTGACTTTTGAGACAAAAAGAACTAATTTTTATTAATTTTATTGGTATGGATAAAGTTGGTTAATTATATCTTAAAAATAGAAGGGAGGTAGTATCTAAACAATGTCCCTTGACCGGTAAGTGAAACTATCAAAACAAACCTTCGGCACCAGGAAGATGATGCATTAATGTGATGTCAACTGATGCATTCGACATGGCTTTTCTGTTGGGAGCTTTTATGGAAGCTAATTTTGTCAAATTAACCACTCCCCTCTGATTTTAATATAGGACATTTTGATTTGTCATCAGTTTCATCTAATATGCATTTTTAATAGAGAAAAAAACTTTAAAAATATTTTAATGTTTTTTGATAAAAATTGAATACCAAATCAAAATTGTATGTTAGGGAAATAAGGAGTATAAGTTTGGAGAATTGATGTAATTGGTAGCATGATTTGGAAAAAAAAAAAAAAAACAAAGATTAGGATGTAAAGATTATACGTGTGTGTGTGTGTGTGTTTTTTTGAAATCCTTATACATGAGTTAAGAAATGCAAATTATACGGCGGATAAAATTATTAGTCCTATCACTCTCAAAAGGAATTGTCAATATAATGAGTAGAAAGGCATGCTATTTTAGGAAGTACCGAAGTACCCATCTAAGGTCTTTTGGGATGCAATCAAGTCTTGTGACTTCCTCAGTATATATTTAAATAAAAACCAAAGAAACAAAACAAAAACACTAGTTTGGAGAATCTCAGATGTGGTGGTACTATTTGATGAAAAGTTTGATCTTCGTGGGTAGAAATATCGATGCATGATTTTTGTACTTCGGGTCTTGCACATTTTTCTTTCATCGATCTATTTCCGCTAAAATTATTAACAACGTGCCATTTAAACGAGGATACTGCAGTACAGAATCAGGCCCTAAGTTCGTATTATATATTCGTAATATATGTAACAGTACTCATTATGGAAGATTTTTAATTGTTATTGAAAAAAAAAAAAATCCCTTATCACCTGCAATGATTAACAAATGATAATGGTGGTAAGATCTTATCTTTAAGAATAAGACAATGATCTACCTGAAATGTGGACGTAATCAATAAAGGTTCCCGCTTTTTTTATTTTAGGCAGCACTTTTTCCCTTTTTTTCTCTTAAATGAAGATAAAACGCATTAATAAATTGACTAATTTAAAACACAATAGTACCAGGATATTTCCACTAGATAACTAACGTGTGATATTTGTTGATGATTTTGATCCCTTCTCCACACAAATTGCTGGAAGTATACTCACTCAACAACATAGGCAGCGGATTAAAAGTAAACAACCAAGTAAAACACGACAAGAAGCACAAACACAACTTATGTGGTTCGGTCTTTTATAGATCTACGTCTACGGGAATGGTAACACTTTCTACTAGTATAAGAATAGAAGAATTTATAAAAGGGGAGTCTCTCTCCCACAATTTTATCCTTACACTCTCTCACAAAGTGTTTCCCATCACTCACCTCCAATGTGCTACGGGGAAGAAAGATGCACATCACTATACAAAGAAGTAAAAACTATGATAGGATTTTCACTCAACTCAATCCTAATTCTACATCCCTCACTCAAGAGCTCTCTCTTAATTAAGTGGCTACATCTTGCCTTTCTTCTCCCATATAATTCTAGTACAAACATTTCCTATTTATACTAAAACCAACACAAAACCTACTAACCTATTGGACTCAAATAGACCCAATACTCACCATGGGCTTGGGAATTTGAAGAGAAGCCCAACAATATTTAATACTATGAGAGTTCTTCGGTCTTACCTCTCAAAGGTTCAACAAGTTCACAGTAATCAAAAGAACAAAGAAATGGAGCTTGAAAATGGGAATGTGATTGCTTCATATAAATGGGCATTCAGAGGGAATGAATTATTCGCAAAAGCTTCATCAGTAACTGTGAGAGGTGTTCTTGACATGTTGATGGGTTATTTGGACCCGAATGACCCGAGACCCACCATTCCATTAGGCCATGGCGACCCATCTGCTTTCCCATCTTTTAGGACTTCTTCAGAGGCTGTAAATGCATCTCATGATGCCCTTTCATCTTCTAAGTTATGGTTATGCCCCTGGTCTTGGTCTTCTTCCTGCTAGAAAGTATGCTCTTCTTTACTCATGGACTTATTGTCTGTTTCTTCTCTTCTATGATTAGAAAGCTACTAATAAAACAGAGGAATTTCTCGTGTCGCAATCTAGCCAAATTAACTTTATCTAACGACTTATAATTATAATGTTATGATGTTTGCCTACTTAAATTTTTCCAGGGCTATAGCAGAACACCTGTCGCATGATCTTCCGTACAAGTTATCGCCCGATGATGTTTATGTAACATGTGGATGTGGTCATGCAGTTGAAGTCATTTTACATGTTGTTGCTCGTCCGAATGCAAACATTTTACTCCCGAGACCTGGTTATCCTTATTACCAGGCTCGATCAGCATTCTGTCACATGGAGCCTCGTTTCTTTGATCTTCTTCCAGAACAAGATTGGGAAGTTGATCTTGAATCAGTTGAATCTATGGCAGATGAAAATACTGTTGCAATGGTAATTATAAAATCCTGGAAATCCCTGTGGAAATGTCTACAAATATGAACATCTGAAGAAGGTAAGTCTGATTTTCTTGAACTGTAGTTAATTAGTGATCTCAGAAATGAACTTAATGAAAATGTCTTCTTTCTTGTTCTGCTAGATTGCAGAAACTGCGAGAAAGCTTGGAATCTTAGTTATATCAGATGAAGTTTATTACCATCTTGTCTTTGGAGATAATCCCTTTGTACCAATGGGAGTGTTTGGATCAATTGTTCCAGTTGTTACAGTTGGATCCATATCGAAAAGGTGGATCGTTCCGGGTTGGAGACTTGGTTGGCTTGTCACCAATGATCCAAACAACATTCTCTAAAAACAAGGGGTATTTAAAATTTTTCTTGCAATATGGTATTAACCTAGATTCAGGATTTAGTTTAAAAGGAGCTCATGATACTGTTATATTTGGGGCAGATTGTTGATTCTTGTTGGGTTCCTCAACATGTCTGCTGATCCTTCTACCATCATTCAGGTTTCTGGCTATTTGATCTTGAAATTATACATACAGCTATACTGAAAGCTGACGAAATTAATCTTTGTGAATTGTGATGACAGGGTGCAATAGGTCAAATTCTTGAAGAAACAAAAGGCGATTTTCTATTAAAGATCAATAATTTGCTAAGAGAAGCTGCAGATTCTTTTTGCAGCAAAATAAAGGAAATCCCCTGCATCACTTGTCCTAGCAAACCTCAAGGAAGCATGTCTGCAATGGTAAGACTGAATCTATCCCACCTGGAAAACATTGTAGACGACATGGACTTTTGTCTCAAACTAGCAAAGGAGAAATCTGTGATAGTTCTACCAGGTAAAAAAAAATGTTCAAATCTAGTACTTTAACTGAACTTTCTGTATCATTGATTTCTGGCGGATATATGCTGTTTGTTCGTCGTGTCGGGATCACTTTAGGAGTGAAGAACTGGCTCCGTATAAGTTTTGTAGTGGAGCCAACCATTCTTGAAGATGGGCTCAACAGATTGAAAACTTTCTGCGAGAGGCATGCCATGAAATCACAAGGAATTTGATTTCATCTCGGGTTGGCTTCCCCTTCAGCCAGACTAGATGGTATTTCCAGCTTGTTGTTTCCTTTTCAAACTACTAACTAGGATGCATATCATCCTTCAATGGGGCATTGCTCAATATTTTTCCATAACATGTAACAATTTCCACATCAGACACAGAGCAAAGATACCTTTCAGTGTTCAGTTCGATCGAGAGCCTGAATCAACTTGTAATGAAGGAATTTTAAGGGATTGAAGAATCTGGAACTCATGAAGAAGTTTAAGGGCCAGAAGGTTATAATATGGATATCGCACGGACGATGGTGATGGGTTTTTGAGATATTAATTCACCACATTATTACTATTATTAGTTACCATTCTTCGTGCTTCTTCTCTGGGCATCTTATTCTGTCAATGGATCATCCAATTTCAGTTAAGTTGCTTTCCTGATTTTGGGTTTTATAAATTTCGGACAACCTTTGTTTGTGATTTAGGTATCGAAAAAAAAAAAAAAAAAAAGAATGATAGCCAAGAAAAAGTTGCCAGGCTTTGCTAATGAAGTACATACAACACCAAATAGTTTATAGCAATATCACAATTCCATTCTGTTTCCTCATAAAGATGAGGAAATTGTTCGGAAAGCAGTTTATGTTATTGAAGGTTGCTAATGAATCAAGATATCGAACGCATAGTTGAAAGGACCAATTCACCTATGGTCGCTTCTCTGAGGAAACAACTTTCTTTTGTTTCTTGGCTGCGTGCCTTTCACAGAAAGCCTTCATCCTGTTCAGTCCATCAACAAGAGATGATGGCTCAACAGCAAAAGTTACACGAAGCCAATTCTTGACTCCTAAAGTAATTCCTACAAGAACAACATCCATCAAGAATCAGGGATCAATAACTTATGAAGAATCTTTTAGAATCTAAATCCTTACGGTCCGTAACCTTTTTGTTCATTAAAGGTTATTCAATTTTGATGATCATAACCAGAAGGCAAGTACTTAGCTTGGGTGTAGAAATGCATTCTTAGCAGTAACTTGGGAACGGAAACACATTCTTAGAGTTTTTCATCATTTCACTTGACATGCATCAGCAAAGCTATCCACTTGCAGTAAAGACATCAACACATTACATATTTTAGGGAAAAAGATTATGTTCAAGAGTAGGAGAAACATACAAACTGGCTTGGTTTTTAACTAGAGAGAATAAAAGGAAACAATGTTAAGCTTTTTACCTGGAAGAACGATAACAGATTCCTCCTTTGAGAGCTTGAGGCAGAAGTCCACGTCATCTTCAATGTTTTCCAGCAGGGACAGATTTAGTCTCGCCTAAACCGACAGCTCTTTATAAGTCTTAACCAAATTACAGCAGATGAAACAAAATGTCACACTTACGTAATCTTACCATCACAAACAAACCTCCTTCAGGCTTCCGTGGACAAGTAAGGCAAGAGATTTCTTTTAGTTTGCTGTAACACAATTCTGCAGTGTCTCGTAGCAGATCCTTAACCTTTGCAAAGAAGTCAGCTTTCGTCATTTCAAGGACTTGGCTTAATGCACCCTGTCAATACATAGAGTTGCTGTGCAGTTAGGATAAACATTGTGCAAGGCTGGACTTGTGAAACTGACGGAAAAGACATGGCACATTGATCCAGAGAGCATGAATGGACATCGACAAAACTCATAAAACTCATGGTTCTTCTGCATGTAAAACAGCAGTTCAAAAATGAAAATATAAAACAATGACTACGAAGCTCAACTATCAACTTGTGAGTCAAATACAATGCTGCATTGACATTGCCAATCTTCATTTTCATACTGCAACTTGAACCTCTTTCCTAACTGATCAAACTGAACACTACGATGTCCATAGTCCAATGCCTCTATGTCAAATTTGTGCAGCGCTTACAAGAAATTGAGGATAATCTTCGCCATACTATGCTTCTTGTCACTAATCAAATAGATATATAACGTGAAAGGCAACATAAATCAAAACCAACAACAGAGATGAGACTTTACAGCTACTTTTCTTAGTTTGGGAAAAGAATTAAACAAAACCTGTATGAAAGTAGCAGGGTCGGTAGAAATGTTGAGAAACCCAATGATAGAATCAACTACCTGCAGAAAGATTAAAAGGTGCATTCGAGGTCATCAATTTTTCCTAAATGAACATGTATGCATCACCCTGAGCTACGGGCATTAAATTATGGATGTGACTGCTACCTTGCTTATTGTTATGTGCAGGGGACGGTGTCCAAGAACTTTGAGCGTGTGTGAGTGTGAGAGAGTGTGTAAAATCATGTGCGGAACTTAATACATTTATGAAGTTCTGAACGATGGTGTCATCATGCAAAGTCCTAGATATATGAGGTTCATGAAGATCGCTACACTGCAAAAGGAGAGTACCCCATATTGCTTGAGGATGTTGTTGGGGTCATTTGTGACTAGCCAGCCAAGTCTCCAACCCGGAACCATCCACCTTTTTGATATGGATCCAACAGTAATGACTGGAGCAATTGATCCAAAAACTCCCATTGGCACGAAAGGGTTACTTCCGAAGGTGAGATGATAATACACTTCATCAGATATAACCAAGATCCCAAGCTTTCTGGCAGTTTCAGCAATCTAAGAAAAGATAACAACCATTCACAGATTCACTAAACATGCCAAATGTAACCTGATAATTAATGACAGCAATATACACCATTTTCTAAAAAACGCTTGCATACCCTCTTCAAATGTTCAAACTTGTAGACATATCCACAAGGATTTCCAGGGTTTATAATTGCCATTGCAACAGTATTTTCATCTGCTATAGCTTCAACCTCGTCAAGATCAACTTCCCAATCCTTTTCAGGAAGAAGATCAAAATAACGGTATTCGATATCGCTAAATATTGCTCGAGCCTCATAATAAGGAAAACCAGGTTTTGGAATTAGAATGTTGGCATTAGGACGAGCGAGGACAGTTAAAATAGCTTCGATGGCTTGGTAACATCCACTTGTTATGAAAACGTCATCTGGTGATAACTTGTATGGCAGATCATGTGAGAGGTGCTCTGCTACTGCCCTGATTAGTATGAAAAGTTAACAGTGTCAATAACAATAGTTAATCTAAAACTTACAAAAGAAAGAAGCAAATTACTTCAGAAAAAAATTTTGTGGACTCATAAGGCCAAAGTTATCCCCTGAACTTTTATTGTACAGTCGTCCAGATTGCTTAAATTGAGGAGCAATGCCCAATGTATGTTGCCTTTCCGTGTACATATTTCAAGGAGAGTTTTACCAGGACCCCTAAATAGTTTCATGCTCTAAACCACTGCATAAGTGTCCCTTCCTTATTGAAGGAAATAATATCAAAGGCAGCATGATTTGGCTAAATAGTTATGGTTGATTAATCAATAATGGCTACAACAGATAGTATCACGGTCTATCAAAAGCTGCGACCCAGTTGATTGCTAGCCTCCAGCAAAGTATAGATAATAGTGGATTGCTAAGCTTTGTCCATTAAAATACGGTTTTAGTCATGCATAAATTAACAGACAGCAGAACTGTTTTGGACCTCCGAATTACACCGACTACTAATTCAGAGCTCTACAAAATGAACGATGATAATCTCCAATGTGCATAGCAGCATTCCCCGGTTATAAAAGCTATACAAGCAACAACGGGAAATGAAACCAAAATAACAAAAATCTTTGACAAACTATAATACTCCATCCGTCCCAAAATTATTGTCCAATTTAATATTTCACTTTTAATACAATTTGATCTAAAAATGAAAAACTAAACTGGACAATAATTATGGGACGGAGGGAGTACAATCGATGACCTGTACAGTTGTACATCTAAAGAAGTTGCGACAAAACTTCACCAGACATCTAAACAGGATGATAACTTGACTGAAATGGGAAGTACATACATGCATGAATCCATGATGCATATATGCACTCATTTCCAGGCTCATAAAAATCCATGACAGAACTAATTCAGAGCTTATTCAAGCGCAATCAATAAAAAAAAAAAAAAAAACAACCCTCCACTCAGAAATGAACATTTTCCCAAGAATATTCAGAAACCAGAACCACAATAAAAAATAAATAAATGGAACAACTTACTTCCGAGCAGGAAGAATACCAACAGTGGAGGCATAACCATTGTACTTAGCAGAGGAAAGGGCATCAGAAACTGCCTTCTCAGCCTCAGGAGCAGTCCGAAAAGATGGAAAAGCAGAAGGGTCGCCATGGCCTAATGGAATTACGGTCCTGGGATCATCTGGGTTCAAATTCTCCATCAGCATGTTCAAAGCACTTCTCACAGACAACGCTGATGACTTCATCAATAACTCATTCCCTTTGAAGCTCCATTTTTTGGATGAATTCCCATTCTCCATCTCCGACCCCATACCTTTTCGCTCTTCTTTGTTTTGATGAATGAATTTCAGGGCGGAGAATCAAAGAAATGAGAGGAATGAAGAGCCCGGGAAGTGGAGTTGCTCTGGCCAAATTGGCTTACTACTACTACTACACAACTCTATATAGTCAGTGCCACACCCGAACGGTCTCAAGTGGGACCTTTTCTGCATTAAGAATTACAACTCACCAAGACATTGGTCAACAATTGACACGATGCAAATGTATGTAAAATAAATAAAAATTTTTGCTTTTTTTTTTTTTTGGTATTTGTTGTATCTTCAAAATAAATTTTTCTTTGTAATCTTTTGCCTAAATATTACTCTTAAGTACTCCCTCCGTCCCAAAAACAATAATCCACATTGAGTTTTAAGGTTTGTACTGTTTTTAGTACAAATTTAAAAACTCAATGTGAACTATTTTTTTGGTACGGAGATAGTATAAAAATAGATCGAAAGAAGTATATAATTGGCGTGCTAGGAAAATATTGATACGAAGGCAAGAAAATGGATTTGAAAATCGATGATTATATATATGCTCTGATCCGAAAAATATTTTCGATATGTTCAGCACTTATCATATTTTACATCATGGAAGATATTGTGTTAGCATAAGGAATCATTTCTACTATAAATGCACATAATGACCTTACATATTATAACAGTGTTTTTTCTTTCTTTCTTTAAAAAGATTTTTTTTTCAAAAGAAAATTAACGCACAAATAAAAAATTAAACACACAAACTCTGTTGTAGAACAAATTCTATTTTAGTGACTCTTATTAACCAAGCCCTCCTATATCTCACTGTTAGAATTTTTTATTTTTTTTTTCACAATATGATTGCGGCAACAAAGCACAATATATAACACTCAATTGGATCTAGTTAAATGGTGTTATTTGTATTAAAAAAAGATTAACTATAACCCAAAAAAATTAGTTCTTTTTCAATTTTATCAAGAAAAGGTAAGTAAGCAACTGTATACGATTAATTAATGGAATGGATTTAACACTAATAAAGGTTGATGTGCAATATCAAGAGTACCGAGAATTAAATATAGTGAGTAATAATAATCCAAAATTCAGGATAAGAAAAAATATGATCCTTACTATTTTACGAGGTAAAAGATCTTCTGCTGATAAAATTCTTCTGATACTAATTTAATACATTACACATATCCAGACATTTAATACATAATAAAGATGAGAAAATAATCCCAGTGTCTTTGTCAAGATACGCAATTACACTGTGTTACGTAGTAATTTGTAAATTCTATATCATGTATGCTTATTTCTTTATAAAATTTATAAGTATTTTAAATTATGTTGGTCATTTTTAAATTTATATATTCCGTCAATTTTCTGTGAGGTAATTGAACATATGAATAAGTATTTGACATCAATAAGTATTTTAGATTGTTCGAAGGGCTTTATTATTTATTTGTTATTAGGACATATTTTAGTTGAGCATCTTATAAATATCTATAAACTTCATAAGATTATTAAACATATATACATAAATTACGATATTAAGATTTGAAAACTCTTATATAACACAATTTAAGTGAGTTCTTGATCACAATATCCTACCAGACATCGGCGGAACTAAGTAGAGCCGGAGGGTCCGCTGAACTTGTCATCGGAAAATATAAGAGGTTTTCCTTCTGTTGTGATATTTTTACTTCAAATTGTTGAGTGTCTCCAGACCTCGAGTCCTAGTTCCGTAGTAGAACAGTTTTGACAAATAATATTATTTATAAGTGTACGTATCAACAGTAGTTTAAACTTTAAATAATGTCCAATGAAATGTTAGACAAAAATTGCGAGATTCCATATCATTCCACGATGGTCATTGTTTAGAACAGTAGAAGTCAGTCTGGTAACCCAATTATTTCTTGAACGGCAAGTTCACGAACAGATTATTTCTTGAACGGCAATTATAATGTGTGGACTGAGGACTAGATAAATGTCAAATGTATAATTCGTCCCTTTCAAACTTTTTAAAATTATAGATTTTTTGGCTTATTTCCCCGATTATTTTGACTCATTTCCACTGACATATAACGTGGAAATGGAATCTATACATTGTTTCACGTTGAAATCATTCAATCTAATGATAAAATTGATAATTCTTCGATGGCATATATAGCATCTACATTTGTTCTATGCCCGTGCACCTGAAGAACTAAGTATGCATATTATTACATTTTTTGAAACAATGTATAATATTATTTATTTATTTATTTATTATTATTATTATTATTGGACATTGGCCTCCCATTCATTTTTTTAATTACGTTAAAAAACATTAATTTGGCCCTTTAACTTCAACAAATGATCTCATTTGATTCTAATCAAACTACATTTTAATAACTTGGAACTTATATGTGAAATTCGTTCGGTCTCACTTTAAATTGTTTGCTTAGTTAAATTCAGCAAATGAACTATGAAAAAATGGGATGAAAAAAGTATAACGTAATTTCTGTCTAATCATATTAATAATGAGGATTACCTTCTACAATGCGGAAGATTATTCTCCGGAATGATATCTTACAAATCACAAGAACAGAACACAAAAAATTGACCGAAATTCAATTCAACTTGAATTTGAAATAAAATGGATACCCTTAGTGTTTATGGGTCAAGATACACATCAACCTTAGGTGCCAAAAAGACTCCATAAATTAGGACACTACTCTTGAATTGCACGTAGATCTGCTATTTATAATTATAACTTTCGAATCGTAACAAATATAAAAAACCTAAATTTACATATCATGTATTGTATTGTGTATCTTATCACATGTTCTTATGTAATAATATGTATCATTTCTGTTTCAAAAAAGTTAGTCGATTTTAATTTTAAGAGTTGTAATAAAACAGTATAAATATCAAAATTTAATGTGGACAATTCTTCTTCTTTTTCTTTTTTTTTTAAACGGAAGGAAGGAGTATAAAATAAGTAGTAGATATTAAAATTCTCCATATAGAACTTGGTAATGCATAAAAAAAATTATGGTATCTACATGCTTATATGAATAATGGTTAATTGTAAATATTACTTACATTATTTTAGCTTCAAAGCTGTAAATTTATAAAATACCATTTCGCGTAATGGCTACAATAATAGTATATATTAGTTTTACTAATTACTAAAATGTAATTATATCTAAAAACTAATCAAATTTTGGTACTAATCAACCAACAATCTGTCGATTCCTGTCAAATAATAATAACTGCGACTAGTTGAAGATTATTTGATGACAATAATGAGCTCAACCATATCGGTTACTGTCAAATAACAAAAAATAAGACTAGTTGATGGGGTCACGCACGATTTCAGTTACAATTATTGAAAGAAAAATGGTAAAAAGTTTTCAATTAGTAATGTGGCTTGCAAATCAAATCGTTCAATGTCTAATGTAATCGTGCTATAATCATAGAACAGACCCTTATTGCATTAATATTAGAGCTATATTGTACCTCAAAACACCATGGGTTATTTCATATGTTACGATAAACATGAGATTTTATATACTCCCTCCATTCACAAATAGATGTCGCTGGAGAGATTTCACAAAGTTTAAGGAGATAATAATTATCTTGTTAAAATACTATAATACCCTCATTTATTCTTAATTCAATTGTAGTCCCAATAAAATTTACTTCTAATACAATTCTACATTAAACATCACTACAATTTCCAATGTAAGGGTAATATTGGAAAAAATTGACAAAATATGCCTCGATTTATGAGAACGATATCTATTTTGGAATATTTGGGTTTTCCTCCAACGACATCTATTTGTGAATGGAGGGAGTAGTATATAAAAAATGCCATTGATTTATCTGCAAGACATAATTATACAAAGTGCGTAACACAATAACTTCATCTCCCATCTCCCTATCCTTTTGAGTGCATCATTGAGAGATACTGTTGGCTCGATGTTGAAAGTTATGAGCAGCCAATTCCTTCCTGGCCAATAACAAGATCCATCAAGAATCAATGTCGCATCTTGATTTGTTCTAAATTTCTTTATTATATTTTTTTAACTGAAAATAAAATCTTTAAAATGTTTTATAATAATTGAAAAAACAGATAAATGTGAAATATATTTTTAAGGTTTTATTTTTAATTTAAAAAAATTTGCTAAAAAATATTAGGACAAATTAAAATTCGTTACAATAATAAGTATTGGAGTCTGGAGGAGGGAGTATTAATCATCCGTACCATGCAACTTTCTTTTCTTTGAGGATTTATTTAATTTGGTTTTATGTGACATATAACGTTGTACTGTATCACATTGCAATAATTGTTTAAGGATGAACAAATAATGATGACATTGATTATTCTTCGACAACATATGTAGGTTTGTTCATCAACTTCTCTTCACGTGACAATCAGATTCTCCAAGTTCAAAGATTCCTTTTGGCTTTTAGTTTCGGTTTTTTTTTTTTTTTTTTAAGTTCAATTTAGTCATTTATTTAACCTCAATAATTCACTTCATCATTTGATTGAATTTTGATTCCATCTAAACTAGTTTTCAACTTGTACTTCATATCATATGGATGCCATAAGATATTATATCCAATATAAGTAGTAAATATTGTTATTTACTCAAGTCTATACCTTACGATCTTTTAAAAGAAACGTGTTATTATGATGCTATGAAATATTACATTGTAATTAGGATTTCTTAAGGCAAAAATGGTAAAAACTCTCAAATATTGTCTATGTAAGGAGGGCTCATAAATTAAATCGAATTGTTCATGTGCATCGTAATCGTGATGCAGTCAAACATAAGAATGATTATAAATGGCTTCATTTTATTAGTAAAACACTGATCTTACTAACCCCCCCCCCCCCCAAAAAAAAATAAAAAAAATTAAAAAAAAAACAGTTCCAAGCTCTCCAATATTAATCTAAATTGGCTAAAATGACATGATCAGCATCCCGGCAGAATGCTGCAAACTTGGAGGTTGGTTCTCTGCAAACGTTGATCAATAAACTAGAGCCTAAAAGAACCTCATGGCTGAATTTGAGAGGCAACCGGTTGTAGAGATATCATCAATTCACTACATTAGTTCCAAACGGCTGAAGGAGTATTATTTAGTTCTCTCCGTGCTTGTTCTATGGGGCATATTGATTATGTCAATGAATAGTCCGAATTCCAGTGAAATTTGCTTCTTGATTTCTTCTTTACAAACTTTTGGACAACATTTAATTCCGATTTAAGAAGGAAAATCATCGTAGGATGGAAGGAGTACTTAGTATACATACTCCAAAACTAGACATAATAACCCGACAATGATGCAAGCAGGTCCTAAGCTTGCAGCCTTAATGGTGTAAGAACAGAAAGACAAACCAAGACAAAATTAAGTAGCCAAGATTTTCCATTGAAGACAGTTTATATCAGCAATATCATGATTCCGTTCTGTTTCCTCACAGAGATGAGGAAATTGGCCGGAAAGAAATTTACATTATTGAAGAGTACAAATGAAGCATGCATGATATCCAACGCATAGTTGAAAACCACACCATTGATAGCGTTGCCCTGAATGAAGGATGATGTAAGGACAAGTACACCTATATATGGCCGCTTCTATATGGAAACAACTTTCTTATTGTTTCTTGGCATGCCTCTCATAGAAAGCCTTCATCCTGTGGAGTCCATCAACCAGAGATGATGGCTCGACGGCAAAAGTTATTCGGAGCCAATTCTTGACTCCTAAAGCAACTCCTACAATAACAACATCCATCCATAATAATCAACGATCCAGGAAGATTCTTTTAAATTTAAATCCGAAAGTTCCTCTTTTTGGTTCCTTTTGGTTTCTGTTGGTTAATAGACAAAATTTAATTTCTTGTCTCACATATGCATTTCTGGAGGTAAGATAAAAGAAGTATGTTTATTTCAAAAGTAATAATAGCTAGTGAACAGTATGAAAGGAATTGCTCTTGAAAGGAAATGAATAGCACTCGCTCTCAGAGTGCAGTGTACCTTATCAGAAACAGTTGCCATGTTTTTGTTCATAATAGGTTGAATTTTGGTGAATTATAACCAGAACGTAAATACATAACAATGGCTGAATAGTTGAATAAAACACAATCTTAGCATTTTTCAACATTCCACAGTCTAGAATCATCACGGCAATCAACCTCTAGGCTCTACCAACAACATAGAGAATAAACAGCAGCTACTAATCTAGCCACAACATATGAAATGAAGGGGTTTCCGACAGAAAGAACTAGCTCAGCTGATAAGAAGAGAGGAGAAAACGGAAACTTAAAACTTCAATTCAAGATGACCTTTACCTGGCAGCACTATTACAGATTCCTCTTTAGCGAGCTTGAGGCAGAAGTCGACATCATCTTCGATGTTTTCCAGAAGGGATAAATTTAGTCTCACCTGAAGCAAAAAAACTCTTTATAAATTTCTAGTTAGATTACAGCAGAAGAAAGAAAAAGATATCATCTTACCATGACAAACAAACCTCCTTCAGGCCTGCTTGGACAAGTAATGCACGGGATTTCTTTAACTTTGCTGTAACACAATTCTGCAGTTTCTCTAAGCATATCCTTAATCTTTGCAAAGAAGTCAGCTTTTGTCTTTTCAATAATCTGACTTAACGCACCCTGTCAATTCATAGAGTTCTTGCGCAATTAGGATAAATGGTGTGCACGACTAGACTCATGAAACTAACAGGAAAGATATAGCACATTGAGTTTTAGAGAGCAAAGTGGATGGAAACTCATGCTCATTCTGCACATAAAACAGTAGTTCGTAAAACAAAATGAAAAAAACTGATTTTGCGAAGCTGAAACATTAGCGTGATAGAAATCACAAATGGATCGTCAACCTTTATTTTCATGGCATGTACATGAAATATTGCTTCCCTAACAGGAAACTGTTCATTGTAATGTTCGAAGTCCAATGAGACTGGGTCAAATTCGTGCAGCAGTTAAAAGTAACTAACGACACTCTCAAGACAGTGTGCCTTTTGTAACTAATCAACTAGATGAAAGACAAAATGAACCACAAACCAACAGACAAGAGACCTAGCAATTGTATTTTCATATTTTGGATTATTTAGAGAAAACCTGCACGAAAGTTGCAGGGTCTGTTGAAATGTTGAGAAACCCAATGATAGAATCAACAATCTGCAAAAAGATTAAACAATTAGAACTTTCTCGATACATTTAAGGTCAACAAACCCTTCGAAATGAGCATTTATGCATCACATGCAACTGCAGGAAATAATATCCGGCCAACTATTACCTTGCTCATTATAACATGCAGAGAAGGATGTCCAAGATCTGAGTGCATGCAGAATATGCAGATGAAAATCATATGTGATCCTTAACACATTTACGAAGTTCTAAAAGAATATGATTTATTATGTCATTATTTGAAGTCCTAATTGTCAAATGTGTCATCGTCCACAGTCCTATATCTGAATGCGTGGAGACTAATTTGCAAAAGAAGTACCCCCTGTTTCTTGAGAATGTTATTGGGGTCATTTGTGACAAGCCAGCCAAGTCTCCAACCAGGAACCATCCACCTTTTTGATATGGACCCAAGGGTAATGACTGGAGCAATTGATGCAAAAACTCCCATTGGCACGAATGGGTTACTTCCGAAGGTGAGATGATAATACACTTCATCAGATATAACTAAGATCCCAAGCTTTCTTGCAGTTTCAGCAACCTTCAAGAAGATAACGCCCATTCACTTAACATGCATCAAGTAACCTGATACTCAACAGCAGCATTTTACAGTTTACACTATCATTATAAAAGATTACATACCCTCTTCAAATGTTCAACCTTATAGACATTTCCACAAGGATTTCCAGGATTTATAATGACCATTGCTATGGTATTTTCATCTGATAAAGCTTCAACTGCGTCAAGATCAACTTCCCAATCATGTTCGGGAAGTAAATCAAAGTAACGGATCTGGATATTGCTGAATAGTGCTCGAGCCTCATAATGAGGAAAACCAGGCTTTGGAAGAAGAATGTTGGCATTAGGACGAGCAAGGACAGTTAAAATAACTTCAATTGCTTGGGCGCATCCACTTGTTAAATAAACATCATCTGGTGATAACTTGTATGGTAGATCACAAGAGAGGTGCTCTGCTACTGCCCTGGTGAGTACAAAAATATAGCAGTTCCAATAAAATTAGTTAATCCAGAAATTCCAAAAGAAGCAAATTGTTTGCATCAACGTTTTGTGAAAACATTATGCCAGAGACATTGCCTAACAGTTAATTCTACAGTAATCAGAGTTAAGCAAGTGCCCCTTGCTTATTGAAGATGTACTACATCAAATGACATTGAACTAGAAAAATACATCATTGACAAACACAAGTTATTCAACTAGAAAATACATCATTGACAAACACATCTAACTAGTCATCCGGAGAAGCCATTCACCATCTCTGTTCATTTGTTTGTTTGATTTGGCACGATATTTGATTAATCAAGTATGGCTATTATAGTTCGTATGATAGTATGATGGTCTATTAAAAGCTGCAACTCATGTTTTTTAATAACTAGGACAAGGTAGCGATTAGATGGACCTTTGTTCATTTCCGTGACCTTTTCGAATAACAGTAAACACCAATTTAAAGCTACAGCAGAACAGATGAAAGCAAAATTTTTCTTAACAATCTTTAAACGGTAGCAAAAACAGGCAAATTATTACAATCGATGATGTACATGTAAAAATATATATAATTCGTACAAACTTTTCATAAACACCAACAAGAAAGACTATAAAACAGGTTGGATAGCTCAAATACAAATGTTAAGTTAGACAATCACTACACGAATAGATCCATGACGCATTTGCTCCCATTTCTGGGCTCACAAAAATCCTTAACAAGACTTCTAATATGGAGGTCATTCAAGTACTGGAATCAATAAAAAGAAATTGCCACTTAGACATGAAAGTATCAAAATAAAATTGAACACCGATTATCATTTCTCCCATAGACATGCAATGTGAAAAATTCACAGTGATTGCATTAGAAGCTTACTTCCTAGCAGGAAGAATACCAACAGTTGAGGCATAACCATTGAACTTAGCAGAGTAAAGGGCTTCAGAAACAGAATTCTCAGCCTCAGCAGCAGTTCTAAAAGACGGGAAAGGAGAAGGGTCACCATGGCCTAATGGGATTACGGTCCTGGGGTCATCTGGGTTCAAATTCCCCACCACCATGTTCAGAACCCCTCTCACGCTCACCGCTGATGACTTCACCAATAACTCATTCCCTTTGAAGCACCACTTCTGAGATACATTCCCGTTTTCCATCTCCGTCTCCATATCTCCCCTGATTTACACTCTCTATTTTCCTCTGTTTGGTGAATGAGTTTCAGGGCGGCGAATCTGAGGGAAAGGAGAGATTAAAACGGTGGGAGGAGATTTTAGCGGCAGTTGACCGACAAGTGTCCACCAAACTCTTTTTTTCTTCTTTTTTTTTTGTTTTTTTTGTGTAAGTAATCCGCATAGATTGTTCGTTTTGCATGCGTTATGTAATTTTCTCCCAAAAGAAAAAAAATGACTAATTCTCTGGATGAATCAATTTTCAATAACAGAAACATTCGAAATTTAATTTGTAGTGTTAAACTTTTTATTCTTGAGTAAATCGGTTTTAAAATGGATAAAGAGATGAAATAGCAATTATAAATCACTAATAAGTGAATCAAATGTTACGTAGTATACTCCCTCCGAAATGATTGTCGAATTTAAGATTTCATTATTCTTTCAACTGTTACTGCAACTAAAAAATTCAAAATGAATAATCATTTTAGAACAGAAAAAGTATCAGATATAATGAATTAACATTATCTTAAAAACACATACAACATAAAGAAAAATAGAGATATAAATTCTTTTAAAGTGGATTGTAAAAAAATGCGGAGATATTTACAATTTTTTTCTATTTTCTTTTTAAACCCACAACAATGGTCTCACATTTATTTTTACAAACTATTGGTGGAAATTGAACTCTAGTCTACACTTACGAGGTACAATATCCTAACTATTGAACTGTCGTTTACTTCTCAGAGATTTACAATTTTTTTTAATAATTTACAGTTTAATAGTTTCTTATGTTGCAGGAAAAAAAAAAAAAACCCTTAACATATGCATGCATTTTGAAAAGGATTCTATTGACTATTGTTATAGTCCTTCACCAGGTTTTTGAACTGAGACAGTAACTCACAAAAAGTTCTAAAAATTTGTTTTATTTAATTTTTACTTATACTGTGCTACTAAAGAATACTAGAAAATGGGAGAAAGTTTGGTTTCGCATACTATAGCTGAATAGGTGTTTTTTCTCATTACTTTTTCAATTTATTTATTACATTAATTTACATTCTCCATGTAAAAATTAACCCACAAACTCAAAAAACTATCTAAATACATTCTTATTAAAAGGTCGGAAATCGAAGTTTGAACCATGTTTATCCTCTGTTCTTAAGGTGATTTCACCCAAATATACATTATAAATTAAAAAAATATATGTTGTTGGCACTTTGCATCTTCAGTGAATCTTATAATATCAAGATCAAGATTATGAATTTTCACAATTGAAGTCTTGTTAATCTAATTATTATTTTGGAATATTAAATTAAATATGAACTCTAATAGGTGGTAAAGGGGACCAGACCAATGTAAGAAAATATCTAATTCGTCCCCTTCACCTTCTTTGTCCTTTTTTTTTTGGTAGATTTTTTGGCCTGTTTCCACTTTCCAGTGACATATAACGTGGAAACGGAACCTTTCTTTTTTTGGTCACATCGCAATCATTCCAGACATGATTGCGTTAATTAATGATTATTCTTCATGGCTCCTGTGTTTGTTCTGTCTACCAGTTCAGCAAAATGAGAATCATTTCTCTTATTAATGTTTAATGTATTTATTTATCATTATTTTGACGTTGGGCCTCCCATATTCAAGATTCCTTCTAATTTAGTTATGTTTGATTCATCGAACTTAGTTTCAACTTGAACCTCGTACTCTTTTTTTTCCTCTTTTGTTAAATAAGGAATTATTTTAGCTTGCGAGGGATAGCTAACCGCCTGATCCCTAAAACATCATGTTGTAGACAATAACGGATTTGTGACGGGGGCAAATCCAGTCGGGTGATTGTTACTGTATTAGATTTCGTCAGTGTAGCCAAAAAAATCTGTAATAAAATTATATTCCTATAGGCATAACTAAATTTAACTATCTATTGTGTTCTAAGAGCTCCCAAGTCGCTCGCAGTAGGTTTTCATGTGCGCAATGGCGGTCTAGTGTTATCCATGATCATTGTGATTATCCCCTATCAACTTCAGCTTCCAACATTCGGTACCCATGCACTCATGCCAGTATCAGTCCCTGGACCTCATACTCTATTATTATTACATCTTCTTCTCTCCAATAAAACTTCTAGTTTTATTTTTTGAACTAATCACCTCTTTTAAACAATTTTATAACAACAATAATGAATGAGATGCTCGTATCGTATTCACACGGTTGAAATCACAAGATATTAGACTTGAATCTCAACTAATGCAATAAAAAGAATTACGTAGTTGCTGAATTAAGTTGGTCATTGATGGTTTATATTGCCATCCTTAGATTTTTGTTCGTGAGTTTGGATAGTTTGTCTAAACAAAACTAATCATTTTGATGAGCTGCTGAGATACGAGTCCACCAAAAAACGTCAACCAGACACATAACTAAAAACTGCAGATTAGATTTCAATCTCTTCGTAGTAACAGTATTCATTTCCTCAAAGATTTGGGCTTTATATTCCAAATTTCAACACAATTTTTTATTTTATTTTATTTTTTTTTAAATTTCTTTTGTTTTCCACATTTCTGTCTCTGTCAGTTCAGTTTAGGGAGTCTTTTCTGGGAGAGTTCGTTGTCCTTCACAGTCTTGTGATCTTATCTCTCCCCTGTCTTCTCAACCCTGAAATTCATTGCTCAAACAAAACAGGAAGATAAAGAAGGGAAGAAGATGGAAACGGAGAGCGGGATTTCATCCAGAAAATGGCGCTTCAAAGGGAATGAAATATCCATGAGGTCTTCAGCGCTGACTGTGAGGAGTGCACTGAATATGTTGATGGGAAATTTGGACCCAAATGACCAGAGGCCCTCAATTCAATTAGGCCATGGTGACCCTTCTGCTTTCCCATCTTTTAGGACTGCTCCTGAAGCTGAAATTGCAATTTGTGATGCCCTTTTATCTGCTGAGTACAATGGTTACTCCCCTAATATTGGTCGTCTCCATGCTAGAAAGTAAGCTCTTTTTCCACCATGGTACATATATTTCCTGTTGAATTCTCATAATGAATCCCTATTGGAGTAATTTTGTGTGGCCAAGAATAATTTTTGTTGTTTTCATGTATGATTATGGTAGTGTCTTTTTGATTGAGCACCCTCAATTAACAGTACTTCTTCATATGCCTTCTGGGCAATAATTGAAGCAATCTGGTGCGTTGAGAGTACAATTAAAAGCTACCCAAATGACCAAGTGTTTGCTCAAAATCTTTTGATGTAAGCAAATGTTTCTCTTCTTGCACTATGAAGTTGATCAGGACTAACTAATCTTATTGAAACTCTGTTGAGTTTTCAACTCATGATCAGGGCTGTAGCAGAGCACCTCTCACATGATCTGCCATACAAGTTATCACCAGATGATGTATTTTTAACTAGTGGATGTACTCATGCAATTGAAATAATTCTAGATGTACTTGCTTGTCCTAGTGCCAACATTCTACTTCCAAAACCTTGTTATCCTTATTATGAGGCTCGAGCAATAGCCAGCAATATCCAATTCCGTTACTTTGATCTACTTCCTGAAAGAGACTGGGAAGTTGATCTTGGTGCGGTTGAAGCTCTAGCCGATCAAACTACTGTTGCAATGATCATTACAAATCCTGGAAATCCTTGTGGAAATGTCTATAAGTTTGAACATTTGAAAAAGGTACGCAACTTGTTCAAGAATGATGTAAATAAAAAATGTTGCTGGTTCAAGATATATATAAGTAGTGAATGGGTACTGTTTTTTCTAAGGTTGCTGAAACAGCCAGAAAGCTTGGGATCTTAGTTATATCAGATGAAGTGTATTATCATCTCACTTTCGGAAGTAACCCTTTTGTGCCAATGGGAGTTTTTGGATCAATTGCTCCAGTTATTACACTTGGATCCATATCAAAAAGGTGGGTGGTTCCTGGCTGGCGGCTAGGTTGGATAGTCACAAATGACCCCAACAATCTTCTCAAGAAATATGGGGTACTAACTTTGCCATTGCGGCCATCCATGTAATTCATGTTGGGTTTTGAATGATGACTAATACAATCAATACTTGTTCAGAACCTTATAAACACGGTATGAATTGGACCCGGGGCTTAGTTTCATGGTTTTGATGTAAGGAAGTCAAAGTTTTAATGTCTGATGACTCTAAATGCATCAAAATTCTGATAGTATAATGTTGTGCAGATTGTTGATTCTATCATTGGGTTTCTCAATGTTTCTGCTGAACCTACTTCTTTCATACAGGTTTGTTTGAATTTCTCCAACTATTAGAAGTGTATATTTCTGATCTGTCCCTGTTGGTTGTGATTCTGTGGTCTTTCATGTAAGATAGATACTCGAGTAGTGAACTAGAATCAATTCTAGAAGCATGCTTTCATGAAGAGTTTCCGCAATCTCTTTAAATGCTGCACAAATGTGGCATGGCATCATTGAGAGAATAGGTTTGAGTGAAGAGGTGATTCAAATACATGTAATAAAAATGAAGATTGAAAATGCTTATCACAACTTTCAAGGCAGCTTTCGATTTTTGAATGGCTGAAAAATTTGAAGTTTCAGTTTCTCAACGTATATATTGATTTGTTTATAGTTTTAATATGTTAAGTGCTCTTATACATGCAGAACAAGCATGAGTTTTTAAGTTTGTTACTTATTCACTTTCCTCTCTTTATGTCATTTTCCTCTTCCCTTTCTTGTCTGTTGAATGAGTCTTGAATCATCGCACAGTTTTCCCTGAAATACTCTTTTATTGGCAGGGTGCTTTAACCCAAATCTTTGAGAAGACTAAAGTGGACTTCTTTACAAAGATTAATGATTTGCTTAGAGAAAATGCAGATTTTTGCTTCAGCAAAATAAAAGAAATCCCTGGCATGACTTGTCCAAGCAAGCCTGAAGGTGCTTTGTTTGCAATGGTAAGATGATTTAAGCAAAGACATTTTTCGTATCTTCAACTGTAATTTTGTTAAGGTCTAGAGAGAGCTTTTGTTAGCAGGTGAGACTGAATTTGTCCGTCCTGGAAAACATTGAAGATGACGTGGACTTCTGCCTCAAGCTGGCAAAGGAGGAATCTGTGATAGTTCTGCCTGGTAAATGACCCTCTGGAAGTGAAGTTTACTCTTTTTTTTTTTCATTTCTGCTTCACTTCTGATATCAAGTAAGCTAGTTATTTCTGTCAGAAGCTCTTTTCTTTGATAAGCGGCGGCTAATATTTTGAATATAATCCTGTGTGTGCTGATTTTGTTGTTAGAGTTGGAGAGGAAGGAGAGCTGTTCTGATTCCGGTTCGTTATAATTCATCTAGAGTAGCCTATAATGAACCAGAAACATGCAAAAAGTGCATTAATGAAAAACCATCACCTGTTTCTTCTTACAGTTTGCTCCGAAAAATCATCACATCACAACTTGTATAGTTATAAACCAAGAGAAAATTCAAAAGAAAACAGCAAGGAACATGAGGATTTACAGTCAAAAGACTCTTCCTGGATTATTGATTCACGATTCTTTATGGATGTTGTTCTTTGTAGGAGCTACTTTAGGAGTCAAGAATTGGATTCGTGTAACTTTTGCCATTGAACCGTCATCTCTCCATGATGGAATCAACAGGATCAAGGTTTTCTGCGAGAACCATTCCAAGAAATAATCAAAAAGTTGTCTTCCTGTTGAAGGGCCATGTAGAGGTAATTTGGTTATACACCAGGTCTATCGAAGCGTCATTCAGGATTACCTTTCCCAAGCACAACTATTGCTGGTTTCAAGAGGCAATGTAGTACCTGAGTTTTTGTAATCAATTTCTTTGCGAGAAAACAAAAGACGGATAGTTATAACAATATAAAAAAACGTGACAATTATAATGGAACGAATAAAGTATTTTAAGGTTTAGAAATGTAAAGAGGTGCTGTGTATACACTTGTTCATTAGCCACTTTGTGTTCGTTGCTCTCCGGTTGTTAGGTTTGTATGGTTTGAAGTACTCCTACATTGCATTATAAATCGAGAAGAAAAATTTTTGATATAAGATGAACAATGCCACAACACATTCAAGGATTGATTTCCTTTCCTTTGCTAATGGCCACTATTAAAAAACATCCAAACATGGTGGCACAAAAAAACAAATAAAATATATACTTGGTCTAATTTGTTGAGTGTTTGAATTGAATATAAAATGCCAGTTAGTGTAAAAACAAAAAGTGTTAATTTTCAAAGCCACCACCTTTAGTATTTGAAAAAGTCACCATTTTGCATAAATTTCGATTTTGCCCCTCCCATTTTAAACTTCTACCTAAGGAAAAAAGAGAGAGAACTTAACCCCTTAATCTTTCAAACCTCAATTTGAAGCCTATTTGGAGCCAAAATTGATGGCAACACGAAAGAAGCCAAGCAAGAAAGAGCCGATCTCATTAAAGGTAAGTTTTTTTTTTTAATCAAAATTGTGTTTTTTTAGAAGAAAATGAAAAAAAAAAAACATTCTGGCCGCCGAAACGGGCAGGGAAGCCGTCCGGCGACATTGGACGGACGTGCAAGCAACACATCTCGATTCAAACCGGAACGTGCATGTTGCTCGTTCCGGTTTGAACCGGGACGCGTTGCTTGCGCGTCCGCCCAGCACCGCCAGACGGCTTCCCTACCCGTTCCGGCGGCCGTTTTTTTGCAGCTTGGCCCGGGATGAGCCCGGTCCAAGATCGGTTCGGTCGGAGAACCGGACCGGTCATAATATTTTTTTTTAATTTTGAATTTGTTTAAGTTTTAATTCATTATTAGTTTTTTATTATGTGTAATATATTTAATTTACTAATTTAGTTTATAATTTAATGTAATTAGTTTATAATTTAATATATTTAAAATAATTTGTAATTTAGATTAATTGATTATTAGTTTGTTATTTACTTAAATTGTGTAAATAAATTGATTTGAATAGTTTGTAAATTACTTTAGTTTATTGGATTAATTTAATAGTAGAAGTTAATCTAATTTGTTTGTAATATAGTTTAATTGATTAAATAAATTAATTTATATATTTTGTAAATTAGTTTAGTTTATTAGATTAATTTAATTAATAGTAATTTAATAAATAGTTTGTAAATTAGTTTATTTTATAATTAAGTACAATAGATTAATTAGTTTAGTTAATTATTGTATGATAATTAGTTTTATATTATGTATATAATTACTTTAATGAATAGTAAATTATTTTAGTTAATTATTGTATGATAATTAATTTAATATTATGTATATAATTACTTTGTTATCTGAATTGTACATTTAATCAAAGGTACTTAATTATTAAACTATTTAGGATTTAGAAAATTTGTATGGTTAAAAAGTTTAGACTAGGAAAATATGATGATGATGACTAAAATTTCTATATGTTATATAGTTTAACCTTTTTTTGGTTTTTTTTTTCTTCAGTGGATGAATGAATTGAGTAAAATCACTAGAGACCTGATTAAAAAGGTGAAAGTGTCCGATCGCAATCTTGCTGATAATATGATGAGCGAAGATCCGTTATTACAAGGGCCCATGAGCATTATCACTGTCGTATGATTATGATTTATTTTCTTTTCCTTGAACTAGAATGGTTTTTTTTTTCTTGGACTGGATTTGTTTAATTTTTTTTTTCTTGGAGTGGATTTAGTTTTCTATTGAACTGGATTTGTTTTTTTTAATGTCAGTATTGTGTGTTATATATTAGTTAATGTATTTGGTATCCCTGTGGTATGTTTTTTTATATCCCTATAGTATGTTATTGCACAATACATAAAAAATAAACAAATTAGATAATAGATAACACCATTATCATCATCACAACAAACAAACCAACATTGATATAATCTAAGCAACTAAGATCAATGTAATCATTATCATCCAGGGGTCGTCGAGGATTCAAGGGGACCAACTTATACCATTCTTGAATTCTAAGAATAAGTGGTAATTCCCAGCCAACAATGCTAGGATCATGTTCCTTAGTCACCAATTATCGGTCGGTGGAACTGGAAAGTCACCGTCCAAATTTATTCGAATGAAGTGCTTGTAAATACCAAGGTGACATACCCCAATCTGATATGCCGGACATGTTGCCCCACCGCATGCAGTGACAGGTAGTATAGTCCAACATGAGCTGTTTAGCAACTGGTTCTCTTCTCCTGCACCGTAATAGTACACAATTGCATTGTTCATAGTCGCAACTACGTACAAGTCCGTTGTACACATCCAATGACGCTCGGGTGCGAAACCTAATCCACTTCACCGTATACGACTGACTTCTTCCTGTACGGTGGTCCTGCATTTACGTGTATAATTATTTGTGCAAAATATTGCAGTCAATCAAACATAATAATAAAGAAAATGAAAAGTATGTATACCCGTAAATTCTCTTGTACAGATGCCAATTCTATTCTAGCTCTGTCGCCATTGCTTCTCTCGCCATCGCCCAATGGTCCTGGCACAGGAACATGTTACTCGCTACGACACGAAATCCACAATTGCCATCTGCAGCAACATCAAAGTAATTGGTAATATATTCCCGAATGGGCCATGGAATGAGATCGTAGCAATCATACTGTGAAATATCACTCGCAAAAATATCTGTAAATTACACTGAACAAATGTTAATTGGAAAAAATATTAATAAATAAATTATGGACACAAAAATAAGTTCTTAATTTGTACCTGTGAATGCATCTATACGATCACCTGAAGACGAGGGGCGCTTCTTACTTGAATCGCTCGTTACTGTGGTCGACTTTCCTGCAAATTAAACATAAAATTACAATATATATATATATATATATATATTACACTATAATAAACTAAATTAAACATAATTTACAATTATTTTAAAAGAATAAATAATATATACAATTTTAATAAATAATTAAAAAACATACAATTACAGTAAACACAATTATTATAAAAAAACAAATATTCAACTAATCAAAAAAATATATTAAATTAAATTTCTTTATAACTAAACTTAAATTACTATAATTAATTAAATTTGCATATAAAATAATATAATTTCTAATTAATTAAACCAAACTAAATAAAATTTAACTAATTAAATTAATTAACATAACTAATTAAAAAAAATAATCTAATTAAAAACTAAACTAATTTACTAAACAAAAATCAATTAAGAATCATAAAATAATATAATGACAAAAAAATTAAAAAAATTAAAATAAAAACAGAATTAAAAGTACATAAAAAAATTTTTTTAAAAAAAAACAGAACGGGCAAGATACCCGTCCCGGCTTGGTTCGAACCGGACAATATACCCGTCCCGGTTGAACCAAGGACGGGCAAGAAACTCGTTCAAGCCTCGAACCGGACGCATGGCTCGCTCATTCGGGCGACAAGGCGGACGAGTTCCTTGCGCGTCCTTGGTTCAACCGGGACACGTATATTGCCCGTCCAAACCGGTTTAACCCGATTTAGACAGGCAATATACATGTTTTTCTTCAAACTCGAACGGGTAAATTGCTAGTCCTTGGTTCAACCGAAACGCGTATATTGCTCGGTTCGGTCCAATTTTTTAGTTTTTTTTAGTTTACCTCTGAGTCACTCATCTCTTTCTCTCTCTACTTTGGACAAAATGATAAAGACAAAATGAGAATTCTTCAAAATTGATAGCTTCAAGTACTAATTTGGGTGGTTGGAAAAATCCCCTCCCAAAATAAAATGGCAAGTAGATATCATGAGACATGTTACTTCTGGTCTTGAGGAAAAAACAAAACTTTGCACACAAACTCTGATCAGACACGTTTCATCATAATACAAAATGACAAACTCAGCATATAATTAGTAACCATTTTGGCCGCCGAATGAGAAAGAATCTTCAGTTGAGCTAATCCAGATAGCCAAACCACAGTTTAACCGACCAGAACCTCACTGTTTGGGAAAATTCATCACTTTCTTGAGGGGAAGCAAAACAAAAATGGAAGAAGAAGAAGAAGGATCGATGAAATGGAACTTCAAAGGGGATGAAATAATGAAAAAGGCATCATCTTGGACTATAAGAACCATACTCAAAACTCTCATTGCTAATTTGAAGGGAGCTGATGATCCCACCAGACCGGTCATCCAACTTGCCCATGGTGATCCCAGTGTATTTCCAAGCTTTAGGCCGAGCAAAGTTCTCGAAGATGGCCTCATTGAAGCTGTCCAATCTGCTAAATTCAATTGTTACGGCCCAAGTAATGGTATTCCCCAAGCTAGAAGGTACAAATAAAATAAAATAAAAGAAGCCCTTTTTGTGTTCTTCTTCCTTGTAGCATCTTTGATATATATTCAAGAAATGTCCTTAATTTGTTTGGTTTCTTAAATCTTTTTTCTCAGCTTTTGGTGTTGAAATAGGAGGAGGGGAAGGACGCTAAGCATAAACTGTTTTTTCTTCTATGTTGGTTAGTTAGAACTTGAAACTAACTTTGTAGCAAGGAAAAAAACCACAAATCAATTCAAATCAAGGGACTGTTTGTTGTTCTGATTTTGTCAGGTATAATGGTACAGAAAAATTGTTGGAGCAAATTTGCTACTCCCTCCGTCCCAAAAAAATAGTCCACATTGAGTTTTTAAATTTGTACTAATTTAAACTCAATGTAGACTATTTTTCTGGGAAGTATCTATTTTTACTCAGTGAGCAACACAGTAAGAGGGGTATGTCCTGTTGTCTGATATCTGTTATATCAAATTAAGGTGTTTGGGATGTAGAAAGTAAGTTAGGGGCAAATTGATTACTTTTCCCATCGGAGAATTGGTAGGATTAGGAGGACAGCGGAAATTATTCAGCTGATTCATATTGCAGTCCTCCTCCGAAAATGAACTATTATAGCAATGACAAACTTTACGTCGTAATTTGTTCTTTATAAGGAATGAATTCTAGGACTTTTTGCTAAGTAATTTTTCCTTTGTGGCATCATTCAGTGTTGCACAACATGTGAAGAATTTACAACCTTAATTAATAAATCGTAGATTAATCAGATTTCCAAGTTATTCTCTTTAACCAGGGCTGTAGCTGAATATCTATCAAAAAACCAACAGTTGGAAGTATCAGTAGATGACGTCCATCTAACTGCTGGAGGAAGACATGCAATTGATGTCTTACTCACTGCCCTGGCTCATCCTGGTGCCAATATATTGCTTCCTAAACCCGGATATCCATTCTATGAAGCTCGTGCAACATTTAGCCGGCTGGAAATTCGCCACTATGATCTTTTGGGCGAACAGGCATGGGAAGTTGATCTTCATCATGTGGAAACCCTTGCAGACAAAAGTACAGTTGCTATTGTTATTACTAACCCTGGTAATCCGTGTGGAAATGTATACACATATGAACACTTGCAGAAGGTATATTTCCCTTAGACTTGCTTATATGGACTTTAATATTGCATGCGTCGTTCAGATCCTTTTAATCACAATAGATTTATGTAGATTGCAGAGACTGCAAGAAAGCATGGTTTTCTTGTAATTGCAGATGAAGCTTATGCTAATTTGGATTTCGGAAGTACCCCGTTTGTGTCCATGCAACATTTTGGATCAATTGTACCAGTGCTCTCACTTGGCTCTTTATCGAAGAGATGGATGCTTCCTGGTTGGAGGGTTGGATGGATCGTGATTACTGATCCAAATGGCATCCTCCAAAAATATGGGGTTCTTTCCTCCTCTTCTCTAGATTCTCTAGTTTGTTTCTTTTTTCTTTTCTTTTTTTTTCCGATTCTCTAGTTCTTATTGAGTATTTCAGTCAATGAATTTAGCTGAAAACTTGCAATAAAAGTCATCTGGAAAGAAGAAATGAAAGCAGATATGGAGTTTCACACTAACAATTTGTTAAAAGCATCTTACTTATGTTTCATTTCTGGAACTAGAGCTATCATGAAAACCTGGATCTTTGTTTTGTTCATGACTGAGGAAATTTGAAAGGTACCTTTAGATGGAAAAATCTCTCTTAATGTCTTTCTAAAGGTATACGAATCCAAGTAACGATAAATTATTCAAAATCGATAATTTATAGTGAATAACACTTAAAATCTAGATTAGCTGCTGTACATCATGAAGCAACAGTAATGTGATTAGTGATCTGAGCTAGATTTTATGTGATTTATTCTACCTTATGAACTCACAGACAGATCTTCTTCTAAAGTCCATATATACTCATAGATATGTATTTTCGAATGAGGTGAAGGCATTTCTGTGGTAAATATCTTATCGTCTTATCATGTCAGATATTAGACTCCATCAAGAGCTGTCTTGACATCTCCCCTGACCCTGCAACTTGTATTCAGGTCAGCAACTAAAGATATTCTTCCTTATAAATCAGCTGTTTTTTTCCAAAGTGGGGTATCAACTGGACAGGTTTTATTCCTAAAGTTGTTAACTGCGAATGAACTTTTTGTCACATACCAGCTAGCTAATTTCTATTTCTGTCTTCGGTTGAATCATGAATGACTTCAGTCCTGTAGTAGATACTTTGATATTATCTACCTGGGAGTCTTGTCTTCTTTTTTTCCTTCACTACCTGGGAGTTTTCTCTGTTATGGTTTATGTCATTGTTGTATGCAATCATGTGAATATCAGCAACTAGTAAAGGCTACATTCTTTGATACCTTTCTCTCTTGCATCGCCTTGCAATTACATATAGACACGGCACCCATAAAGACATGACTAAGTCGTGCCATTTTATTACTTTCGAGGGCATTACAGAGTATTGGTCTGTATTCTGTTCTTCAGGCGGCAATTCCTAAAATCCTCAATATACCAGAGGATTTCTACTCGAGGACACTACATTTGCTAAGAGAAGCTGTGGATATTAGTTATGATCGGCTCAGGGAGATCCCATGCTTCACATGCCCATACAAACCAGGAGGAGGCATGTTCATTATGGTAAGACTAACATTTGAATCTGTTGAAACTGGCCAAATACAAGGTTAGTTTTGTTGTAACTTTTAGCTGATGAGTTAATATCCTAGGTAAAACTCAACCTGTCATTACTAGAAGGCATAATTGATGATATGGACTTCTGTCTCAAACTTGCGGGAGAGGAATCCGTGACTCTCCTGCCAGGTAATATGCTTTCTTCAGGAAATTTTCGTACTTGAAAAAACTAAATTGCAACGGGAAATGTGAATCATCTAGGCCAACAGAAGATAGTTTCTGAGAGCTAGTTTGTTCCCAGGAGTCGCCATGGGGCTGAAGAACTGGCTGCGTTTGACGTTTGCTGTGGAGCTATCTTCTCTTCAGGATGGTCTTCAAAGAATTCGAGCTTTCTGCTTAAGACATGAGAAAAAGCTGTGAAGATTCATTTGAATCATTAGTTAGCCGGTTAACTCGGCTTCTTTGAAATGAAATAATCCAGTCTCAATCATGTGGTAATGATTGCCAGTATTGGTACTCATCAGACAACCAAGAAGCTCCAAAGATCTTTGAGCTGCATTTGCCTGAATCACCTTTGAACTCAAACCTTAAAGTTAGTGATCTCTTGTTGATGTTGTGTTTTCTCAGATTCTGGGAATGGAAAATGAAAATCTTCAGCTTATTTATTCTGGTGCAAAATCTAAACTAAACTCATCCATTGGTTATGGCTACTATTACAAACTGATCGCCCTTTTCCACCTCTTGAACTGTTAGTTTGATCAATGGTGAAGGTAGACACCATGAATCTAACAAATAAAGTACTATTCGTTAAAGTTAATTTGATTACTTTAACCTATTTTTTTAGTTAAGGCCGATTAAAAATCACGAGATGATAGGTTTGAGTCTTGACAAATACAATACAACAATCTTTAGTGAAAGTTGATAAATTAAAATTTGAATAATACAGTATATGGTCGATAAATTAAAATATTGATGGGTAATTATAATATGATTGATAAATTAAAATGCTTTATCCAAAAAAAAAAAGAAAATTAAAATGATTCCTAAAACCCAAAAAATAATCTTCCAGCCCTTCATTTTTTTTCTCCAAGACCAAGAAATTCCGTAATAACGGACTTGTCTCCGTTTTATTGCCGTTTCTGAAAAACACAATAGACCCACAGCCGGCGTTAAAGAAAAATAGAGGAAATAAACAAATTAAAAAAAGAAAAAGAAAAAGAAAAGATGCCATTCTAACGGCTCTTCCATTCATCCTTTTCCTTTTTCCCCCAAATTCAAATTCAAGAAAATCCCACCCATCTCTCCTATTTCGAAGCTCAGAAATCCCAATCCAAAATTCTCCCAAATCTTTTTACCCAAAAAAAATATGGATTTGGCTCCTCCCTATCATCGATCCGATCCCAAAAGCCGAACGAAATCATCGTCAAGACTCTCAAAACTGCGGTATTACAACGATGAGAAGAAGGAAATAACCTCCCCAAATCTTTCCCTGGAAATCGTCCCTTCTTCCCCTACCCCAACAATGGCGTCCCCATCCCCTTCCAAGTCCCCTGCCGGTCTTCCCCTTCACGAACTCCTTCATCTTTCACCTTCCCCGCTTCGAAGATCCAGAACCCGTCTCGCCGACCGGATGGAATTGGCGGCGGAGGACGGCGGCGCAGAGCCTAATGGAGGTCGGAAGAAATTGAAGAGCAAAAGTTTAGGGCCGGCGGGAATTGCTGCCGGGAATGGTTCTCCGAAGGTTATTAGGAGGTCGTCAAGAAGGCGGTTGGAGCAGGATATGATAAGGGATGAGAGGGATTATGGGTTGGGAGGAGATATGGTGAAGCCCAGGAAGAAAAGAAATAGTGGTAGGTCTAAGAAGGACAAGCTCAGTGTGGCCCCTTCAACTCCATCACCAAGTATGCAGAGATTAATTGGATTTTACTTTTTGTTCTTTTTTTTTTTTTGAAAATTTTTTCCTCTTTCTTTCTTTCTTTTCGGTGGTTTATTGATTAGTTTATTATTTTCTACCACATTTGTTTGATATTTGTTAACTTAGGGTTTATGTGCATTTTTGTTTCAATTGTTTAGAAATCAGCGACGCCAATGAGTGTAATGTGGATGGAGTTAGACGAGTGATTAGCGATTTAGTTATGTGGAAAGATGTGGCCAAGTCAAGCCTTTGGTTTGGTTTTGGAACAATGTGCTTCCTGTCGTCTAGCTTTACAAGCGGTGTTAATTTCAGGTTGGTTTTACTCTAATTGTGCGAACCTGGGCAGATGGTTTTCCCTCTAGAATTGTATGATAAATTTGCACATTTATCTTTCTGTTTCAGCATTTTCTCGGCGATGTCTCAATTAGGGCTCTTGTTTCTGGGATTGTCATTCTTCTCAAATTCAGTCCGTAAAAAGTAAGTCTATGTTTATTAGTAATTCTTATGCTAGGAAATATCAAATCATTCTCTTTTTTTCCTAAATTTTAGATTTGTGTTTTCTTCACAGGGATTACCCTAGTACTGATCGTGAATTTAAGCTTACGGAAGAAGATATTTTACGGGTAGGGAGGTTAATACTTCCAGCTACAAATCTTGCAATTTCAAAGATAAGGGAGCTGTTTTCAGGAGAGCCTGCAATGACGTTAAAGGTGGAATTCTTCTTTCTATTGCCATTTTGATCAATTAATTTCTGCTGTTTGTAGCTCTTAGCATGTGCTTACTGGCTCTGTCAACTGGATTAGGTTGTTCCTTTCTTACTTCTTGGAGCTGAGTATGGTCATCTTTTGACCCTGAGGAAGCTATGTGCACTAGGTATGGTAGTCTGATAATGATAGTTTTATAGACTGCTGCATTCACCTTATTATCAACACAAAGAACTTAGCGACAAAATGAGCCTGATATGAAGATTTTTGGCTTGAATTTGACAGGGTTCTTTTCCAGTTTCATTTGTCCGAAGTTGTATTCCTCCTACTCCATTCAGATACATAAAAAAGGTATTTTGAGCTAACTCTTTTACTCTAGTTTATGGTCTTAATGATAGCTTTTTAATTGGTGGTTTCATCTTTTCCTGAGAAAATTCTGTACTTGATATAATGCAGTTAATCGTTTGATGTCTTGGATGTTGGAGGCATGGAGAGATTGCTCTCGTAAGAAAATGGTGGCTGCATCTGGATTCATGGCATTTTGGCATCTGACAAGCATCAGAACCAGGATCTTTGCAGGTAGGCTAAATCTACTTGTTTGATCACGAGGAATAAAACCAGAAAGCTTGATTTTAATTTCTTAAGAATTTACTAGCGGAATATTAATGATAGGGGACTGAATTTATGTTGTAAATTGGCTTGGCGCATCATTCTTCAATCCATTCCGCTCTCCCTATCATTTCACCGATAAAAAATTGGATTCTTATGTGTAGCACCTTTTTATTTGTTGGTGTTTTCAGCATTCATAGGTCTGGTAATAGTCAGATACTCTAGGCAACATAAACTCTCAGAACAAAAGGCTGAAGTGGTGGAGGTTGGTGGAGAAGTTAAGGAACCACTAGTGGAGGAGCTGCAGGAGGAGAAGCCGCAGGAGGAGGAGCTACAGAAAGCCCTGGTGGTGGTGGAAATTGATCCTAAAAAGGGCTAACTATGAAATAGTATGGTTCTGTTTTAGGCAAAGCTAACCTCTAAAGCTAAACCTGAGTCAAGTAGACTGCCTAAGTGCCAATGAAGAGTTTCTAACAGAGAATTGTCAAGTGTACTCTTCATATTTTGTATATGTAATAATAAGAGGTTGCCTTCTGGTTTAGCCTAATTTGGCAATTCCATCATGTGTTTATAAGTTTCATATTTATCTCAGTCTTCTTTCTTCATTTTCCTAATCTAAAATGATATTTATCTACAAATTCATCTTCATTTTTTATCACCCACCATTCATGAGAAATTCATTTGCTCATTACTTGTAAACATAATCTTATAATATTACTTGTAAAATTGATCCAATGAGTAAAAGTCACATTTGTTAAAGATGTAATGCGTAGTTGAATTTTAAGTAGATGTTTATAACTATTTTTGGAAATAAATCATATTATTTCTAATAACTATGATGAAATATGTGAGATGAAAGGGAAATGCTTTCTACCAGTATTGATAGAGCTAATTTATGACCTTAACACAATGTATAATGGATCACTTGGTTTTCAAGCTCTCAATTTTTCATCCCCAAATATAATATTTTTTGTTATGAAATATTTGATTTGATTTGATTGAATGTCCACAATTAATATGTATTATTCTATTTACAATCAATGAGATATGATTTTGTAATATTTAGTATTAATGATAGGTGATTCATTTCTCACAGTTTGATCCCCAACTTTTTGTATAAATAGGGAGCTCATTCATGTTTCAAAATATATCTGAATACAAGTCTCTTATCTCTCTCTACTCTCTTGTCTCTTCTCTTTATTCTTATGCTTAGTTCATGTTAGTAGTTTATCATTAATTTTATAACACGTTATCAGCACGAGACTTTAGCCAAAGAGCTCCTACCACCGCCTGAAGTTGGTGTGTATTGATTTTGAAGGCTTGAAGCCTCAATGAATATTTTAATTCTACCACCGCGTATTAATTCTGAAGCTTGAAGCCTCAATGAATATTTTAAAAGGCTTTCATGATCTAAAGCATCTGAAGCGCCGTGACCTTAAAAAATTTTCTGGTGCACGAATTTCTAGCCACACTGAGACGGTTCATCATGGAGTTCAATTTAATGACTCAAAATGACGATGATGGAAGAAAAGGTAAATCATAAAGCATACATATTTGGTTTGCATATGAAGAGAAATATTTATTGTTATAAATTCTATTTATTCATATCACACATATAACAATCACGATGCAATTCTTAAGATATATATATATATATATATATATATATATATATATGATTGTTGATAATGTGAATGTATAAAACTCATATAAGTTTGTAATTGTGATAGCATTTATGTGTGCAATAAAAAAAAAATTTCTTTAAAGAATTAATTTCTTTGATATTTAGATTGGAAGGAAAACACTTTGTTTTATTATTATGCGTTTATTGATATTAGTAAGAAGGAATTAATCCCCTTTGCATATATTCTTTGTACTTTTATATTTTACTTTGCTCTTAATAATGTTAATATTTAGTAATGAAAGTAAATATATTGTCGGTATCAATATGTACATGTATCAAAGTTGCTCCTGAAGTAGCAATGTCAAGATAATTGCTCCAGTAGTAACGTTATCAAGAAACATTTGATAAAATCTTATGAATTGATTTCTTTCCATTCTCCGAAGTGAGTGGGCAGTAAATTATTCAAGGCAAATTGTAGACATTAAATTTACAATAATTACGTATATATACAATTCTTCACCTGAATTTGGAGAATTAATTTGAAGACATGTTCAATTTAGACATGGTCCATTTCCTGAAGTAAATGTGACCAAGCAATAATGATAGTGGTGATTCTAACAAATACACTATTAACCACCTGAAGTTGGAAAATTAGTGAAAACACTACGATCAATCTGAAGTTGAAAAGTAGTATATTACAAATGCTATCATTGTGGAATAAAATCATTGGGTTCACATGTTTTGTATACCTACAATTATCTTATTGATATCTTCAATATATTATTGAAAGTAGATGGATTCATTAGTCCTGCCGACAATGAATTAACAAATCGTAATTCGATCTTTGTCGAAACGCCCTGAAGGTGATTTAAAAAATTTAGAGATGAAAATGTCCAATATGTCAAACACCCTAAAGGTGTTGTGATCTTTTGACCACCATAGTTATGATATTATTTAATTGACATTTTCTATCTACATGTTTCGAAGAAAATAATATCTGAATTTATTCATGGCAAAAGTATGCCTGACACATAGTGCAACTAATATTACCTCTCTGGATATTGTATATTTTATTAATCGCCCTGAAGGTGATGCTTGTCAATGATAAAACACGAAACAATTAAATGCTCCAATAGAGCATATGCCATTGAATTATTTTATAAAGATAGATGAAAACTTCTAGAGAGCATAATTACTCCGGAGAGAGAAAACAAATAAATGCTCCTGAAAAGCAAATATAATGAATTCATCCCCTCTGGAATAGCAATAGTAAAGAAACTTTAATTCCAAAAGAGCAAGAGAATGTTAGAAGAAGAAAGTATAGTGAGATATATTAAATTCTCCAAGGTATCAAGAAGGATATAAATTACTCTACCAATACAACTATTTTGAATTTAAAAATTCATTGTTGTCTCCAGCAGAGCAGCGATACATTTTGCTTTTAAAAGAGCAAGAATACTATGGTAGAATGAAAATAACTGAATAACAAATACTCTATTAGAGTAAACGCTCAAGTGGAGCGAAATTGTTCTGGTATAATTGAATGATTAATTCACTGTTTTCTCCAGAAGAGAAATTCTAAAATTTGGTATAACTAATTAAGCGACACTGGTTTCAAAATGAAACAAGAAAGTTTATGTGCTTTAAAGTTGGAGAACCAAGAGTTTCTTCCAACAAATTAGAGTATCAATCGATGTGTCGATGAGATAGCCACATGTATGATTGTCGTTAACTTGCAACCTGAAGCTTGCAGAAATTTTGTCATGGAGTTAAATCGGTAACTTGCAGATTTTTGTGTTCTGTTCTTACACAACTATTTTGATTTGGCAATTGTGATGAGTGTATCACTCATTATCAGAATGATAGAAGTTGAACATTGAGTGCCTAGAAGAGCAATAATGATACGGTTTTATAGAATCGTTTATTACATGTGTTCAATTAGAGTAATTACCTCATGTATAATTGAGGAAGTGTTAAAACATAAAATGCACCAATTATATGCATAAGACGAAATAGGTCAATATTCCCCCCAACAGTGATTTTCGGTCAGAAACCATACACATCCATCTTTAAATATTAGATGTACAATTTATATATTACAAATGCTCCACCACAATGCACACAAAGATGGATCCTCAAGAAGAGGATAAGAATATATGTTGGATTTTGAAACTCCAGTTTTTCATATTATTGGTTATGGGTTTTACTACTCGATAATTTGATCGTATTAGTTTGACGAGTTAGTTACTCCGAAAAAGAGATTTATTAACTGCTTGATTGGTTAATCATCATTTTTGCGAGTTAGTTATCCCAACATCAGGAGTAGAATTAAAAACAACCGATTTATAAATAAAATGGACAAGATCATTATCTCATCAGATCCTTCATGATATGAACCTGAAATTTAAGAGATAATGTTTAAGACCAGATGTTTACCTGACCGAATGTATAAATATATCTTATATAAAAGGTTGTTAAACTTAGAATTTGATAATGTATCCCTGAAGGACTACCTACCAATATTTGTTAGTTGAATGTCCATTTGATGAGTGGTAGAACCATCGATTCCAAATGATAAAAATTCTCGTAAATGACAATGTTTAAATCTATAGAGATGGCAAATACGAGTTATTATAATTCATACGAGTTATATGAATACTTTGGAAACTTAATGATTATGAGATCTCATTACCAAAGAACATGGAATCGATTAGCAATAAAATATCGACATGAAAATTGCTTATGCTGCAGCAGTGAAATAAATGGAAATGAGGATCATGAAATGAAAGTCTGTTGTAGATGCAGACATTAAACTTATTCGCCACAACAAATGAAAAAGACGAAATACACACTTGATGATGTGTACTTAGAATTGAAATTGCTTGCGAACTAGAAGTTTGGCAAGTGATATACATGCTAGATTTTTGCAGGTGATTGTCCAAAAGATTATCGAGCAACCTCTTTGTTGCACAAGTTTTTCCCAAAGTCCGGTTTATCTTGAGGTGGATGAAAAAGAAAATCTTCCGTTATTTGCTAATCTGGTAGCAAATGAAGATAAGACATGTGTCTCTTGAATATAGTGATTACTTAATACGTGATACTTGATATTTAATAATGACGTCTATATGAAATTCCCGAAGGATTAAAAAAAAAGGACATGATTCTCAACTCTCGAGAAATTAGTTCAAAAGACTTGCGCAAATTATAGTTCCTTCATGTGTCTAGATATTTAGGTTCATATCCTTGAATATAATAGATATGTTATGTTTGTTTTTATCTAGATATGTTATGTTTGTTTGTAACATGATTTTCTATGTGTTTTTATGATCATATTTGAATGATAGAATGATAACTAATACTAGTGAGTATTCATAAGTGATATGTACTTTTACAATTTTGTTAGCACCGAACTCTTGTAGAATTTTAAAAGGTTGAATATTATCGAAACTAATCACGAAGTTCGAATAGCCTGAATGTAAATAAAACTCCTGAAGAGTTATATCACAGTTATGAAAACTTCTAAGGAAGTTCAAATGGTTGCTACTTGCCTGAAGCAAGGATGATGAAAGATCTTGAGTAGAATCTTGGTCTAAATAATTTGACATTTGTATATTCAACACCCGTTGAGCGCACTTGATTAAAATCTTGATGTGCATATAGATCATTCTTCTTGACTTTCTATTAACGATGTAGACCGAGTTGGTCCTGAAGTACCATATAAAGTTTTGCTTTATCTAATCAATTAGTCAAGACTTGGACGTTGTATAATGTAACCTTCAAGGTACGATGGTCATGCATCTCTATTATTATAAAACACTCAAAATTATATAGGTATATGAAGACAACCGTCTACATGAGAAGTCGAAATAATCTGTCTATTATTGACTTAAACAATCATGAACTTGGTCAATATCTTGGCATGCAACGAGAATATTACAAGCGGCGTACTTAACAGGGGGAGTAACCCACGCTGTACTATTTTTTCCTTGATTAAGGTTTTGTCCCAATGGGTTTTCCTGACAAGGTTTTTAGCGAGACAGTTTCGTGTACTCTTTTTCCTTCACTAGGGTTTTATCCCAAAGGGTTTTTTCTAGTAAGGTTTTAACGAGTCATTATTTCGCAAAGATGGACATTCAAAGGGGGGGGTGTTATGAAATATTTGATTTGATTTGATTGAATGCCCACAATTAATACGTATTATTCTATTCTATCAAAGAGATATGATTCTGTAATATTTAGCATTAATGATAGGTGATTCATTTCCCACAGTTTGATCCTCAACTTCTAGTATAAATAGGGAATTCATTTATGTTTCAAAATACATCTGAATACAAGTCTCTTATCTCTCTCTATTCTTTTGTCTCTTCTCTTTGTTCTTATGCTTAGTTCATATTAGTAGTTTATCATTAATTTTATAACATTTTTATGTATTTTGATATTGATAGGGTAATTTTTTATTAGTTATATTGGTCAAAATTTGTTGTGCATGGAATAAAAAATAGCGTGGCTCAGTTTACTCAATATGTGCAACTTGAAGGACTAAAGTTCCATTTTATTTTTCCGTGTTAGATGCCCCACCTTAAACCCCTGAGGATTATTTTACCATTCTATTTCCAATTCAATTCATTCGCCTTAAAACCGGTTATACTAAAATTGGGGTTTAGGGTTCTATCCAGTTTAACATCATCATGTCTACGGCGGCGACACCTGATTCTGCTGCGTCTACAGGGAAGACACCGGCGCCGGCAGCCAAGAGGAAACCTGTTTTCGTGAAGGTAGATGATCTTAAACCGGGGACCTATGGGCACACTTTGATCGTGAAGGTTGTGAGTTCCAAGAACGTCGTCAATAAGGGCCCCAATGTCGGAACCGGCGGTAGAATGGAGATGCCTCTCAGTTCTCGCCCCAGGCCACGGATTGCTGAATGCCTCGTCGGTGATGAGACCGGCGCCATTGTCTTCACTGCTCGTAATGAGCAAGGTGCGAAATCGCCACATTGAATTTTCTCTTTGTTATTTGATTTTGCTAAAAATTAAAACATGCAACAAAAACTGAGTTTGATTTGCATGGAAATTGGATTGCAGAACAGAGGATTTAGAACAGGAATTTGGTTAGACGTGTTTTATGGTATACTGACGGCTTAGAGATGTTGGATTGATTCAATTTTGTAGTTAGAGTTGTGGGATTTGGCATTTCATATATGAACAAGTGCTGTAGCATATTGATTACTGTGGGAATGATTTCGTGCCCTTCTTTTGATTTTTTCTTGGAAAATTTTGCCGTCGCTGTGATGTTTGTCATGAACAAGCATGAAATGACATGGATGAGTGGGGCAGAGAAATATAAATGAATGAGTACATGTTGATACTTTTATTTCATAGCTCTCCTTTGTGTAAGCATGGAGTTATGTATATGAAATGGAACTGGTAATCATAAGTTTTAGTGGCTTTTTCGTCCATTCATATTCGGGTAAATGTTACTAGGTTTTCCAGTACAATTTATGATAAGAGTATGAAGAGGACTGTGCCTTTGAATGTTACTAGGTTTTCCAGTGCACTTTATGTTGCTAGGCCTATTCGTTTTATTCACGTCAATCTGAGTTGTTTGCTTTCAGAAAACCATATGATTTGTTCTTCTCTACTACTCACAAGACAGTTATTGTCTTTTGTTACTCTCTCAGTGTTCTTAACTAATTTTTCATTTCTGCTGGGAACAAAATTATGATAGCTCAGAGCAAGGGTGTACATTACGAGCAAGGGTGTTCTGGCTTAGCCATTATTGTTCTTCAGCAAAAAAGAGTTAACTAAGATGCATTGTTTTCTCATTTGTCCTCGGTTTCCCTATTGTAGAGCCTTAACTTATTTTGGCCATTGATTAGGACCTAGATCTTAACTATGATGATCTTTTCAAATTATTAGTAGAATTCTATTTGTACCGAATTCAGAGGGCGAATTTTGTTATTTTGCTGCATTCTGTTATTTTGTCATCCTATCATAATCTCATTGAATATCTAGGTTGACTAATACTTTCTATGCATTGACACTTTTGCAATTTCTGTATGCTTCAAAGTTCTGATGGCATCTCCTTTTTTTTTCTTTTTTTGTAGTTGATCTACTGAAGCCAGACTCCACTGTGATTCTTCGTAATGCAAAAATCGATATGTTCAAAGGGTCCATGAGGCTTGCGGTTGACAAATGGGGTCGTGTTGAGGTTACTGAGCCTGCTAACTTCAAAGTGAAGGAAGATAACAATCTGTCATTGGTGGAGTATGAATTGGTCAATGTTGTGGAAGAGTGAGCCATTTCTCAAGGAAAATAATTGTCGAGGCAGATAGGAGGTGTTTCTCTACTTCAATTGTGAATTACCGTTTGGGTGGATTATTGAATTGATTTCAGATTGGAAAATGTTTGTAATTTTCCCCTTAGGAGTAAATTACTTGGGAAGAAAAAAAAAGTGCGCCATAATGTGTAGCAAGTACCGTACTTTTGATTCAAGAAGTAAAGAGATTCTTTCACATGTTTCGCATTTACATTTCACTAACAGCCATGACTTGTGCACGTGTTTTCTTTCCCATTGGCCCTTGTTTAGGTTCCCTCGTAGTTGTCTAGACTTGCATTGCTACAAATTGGTCTGTTATAGCCTTGTATTGCTACAAACAGGTCTAAATTTATACCAATGGGGTATAAACAAACAATCATTCACTCGAGAACTTTTCCATAATTTGTTCGTTGGATTTGTTAAACCTTTCATCGCTAGAAATAACCGAATTAGGCATAAATTTATACCAGTAACGGGATGAGTTCAGTTTTCAAATTCTCAAACTATGAGCGTATAAATGTTAGTTGCTGTGTATGCAACCATCAGCCTTTCACGAAATCTCAGAGACTACAGATATTGGGTCATTAGTAAGACGATTGATCCACTGGCGAGGTTGACAAAATGAGGTGGGACACATGGGATGCCGCAGGACAAATAGGTAGCCGGCAAAGACATTGGCTTCGCCATATGTGCAATTTAAAGTGACCCAGGGATCTGGATCACGAACCTGCAACGAAAATGAATGGAGCAAGGGGTGGCTGTCAGTATTATGAAGTACCCTTGCGCCAACCTGTATTAAAATTCGCAATTGCAAATGAAAGCCCGTCCGAGTTTGCTTGATATGAAATTGCTTACAACAACGTAACACAACAAAGAGAGTGGATTCCTATGTCTAAGACCCAAAAGGTGCCCTCAGATATCCAAGATCTACAGAACAGAGTCAATATTCAGACAAGTACAAGTGGTTAAAGCAAAACCAAGCTGAGGGAACCATATAAATTTGCAGTCAAAGTGCACAAATGCATGCTAAAGCTGGCCACATGATCCTTCCAACTCTCAGTTTCAGCAAAGCACCAATCGTACTAGTTATCTGAAATGATTAAAATGCAAGTGAGACCAACACCCTAACTTTGGAAAAGGTGCATTCAAGTTGGTGGAATCTTGTAATAAATGCATGTATCTTAGTGTGTTCTCTGGTTAAACTACATTAGAATTTCACAATAAGGAGCTCAACCGCCAGATGCAGATATGATAATGCCGAAAGGACTTAATAATGGACGCAATGCACCGAGTTCAAGCAGCCATATAACTTGGTACATATGAGAACTGATCTAGAAATGGGAAGAAAAGAACGCATACATCTGCCAATGAAGCCAAGGAACATTGCAGAGATCTCACCAAAGCAGATAATTCATGAGCAACACTAATCGTCTTATAAATAACCACAGAGACACTATTATTCCCAGCAACTTTGAATAAATAAGAAGTACACATAGGGGAAATGTTCTGAAATAAACTCCTATTATCAACAATACATTTTTCTTTTTTTAAATACGGATAAGGCCGGAAGAAGCAGAAGAAGGAAAAAATGCTATGTCTGTGGCATTTATATCGGGCCAGGCACATTTAGGTGGTTGACTGAAGCATTCAGAAGCCACAGTGTGCAATGAAGGACCTTTGCTTGAATGCCTTGGAGAATGAAGAATATTGATCATACATCATCATTGCAAGCTGGTTGATAAATGAAAAGCAGTATATTACCTTGCTGACTTTATTACAGAAATGATAAAACTAACAAGAAGGACAATCAAACAGCAGATACATTTTGCATTCAATTCTGTTCAGGATTCAAAAACAAAAGCCTCGATGTCTAACAAAAAGTCACTGCAGATGAAAGGAGGTTAAGAACATAGGTTTGAAATGTATGGATATTGAATGTGCCTCTTCAGCAGCCATCTTAATGCCATTGAATGAAAATGTTGGCACTTGTTTTATGTTTTGCTTGCCCCCTCCATTAATTCATCACACATCATCAGTGCAAGCTGGTTGAATAAAATTACTAGGTAAGTTCCAGCACATATTTGTTTTCACTTAGATTTGCTCACATCAACTAGAAGCTATTTACTAGGAGTACCAAAGAAACATCCACTAAACACAGAAACAATAACAAACTATAGGATATTGGAAAATCAAGACGAGTACTGGCTGGGCAAAGATAGATCAACAGAAATTTAAAAAGCAAATTTCACCAATTGAAGTAACATTGCATATAATAGGTGCCATACGTTTGAATCAATTGAACAAAGTAGCATCAACTAAAATGACCAATTCACGACCTACAAATTTGTGGAATTCATTTCTAACAGCCTATCAAGCTTTTCAGGCAGGCAAAATGATGGTTTATTAAAGGCTAAACTAATCAAAGTCATCCTCTTTGCTTCTCCATCTTCATCTAGTCTTGTCATAGCCTACAATAGCAAAAATAAAGCATCCATTTATTCTCTAAAAACAAATTAGGATACAGCAAAAACTGACTAGTTCAACATGCAGCGAAAGGGGGGTTGAGGCGGTAACTAACATATGGGTATCACTCAAAAGACAAAAATCCTGGGATCAGCCACAACCATCCATCACAAGAACTAATCATATATATAAATCCTGTACAGGGGTGATGACTAAACCTCTGAAATATGGGTTCAATGTGGCTTCAACAACCAAATATCCAAGAATCCAGGCTTTTTATGCATATAACAAAATGAGCTTCAGTTTAAATCTAGTATTAACATTGTACTGAGGGACAAGCTAACTTACCAGAAACAAACATGAAAGGAAAGGACGTCAAGGGACATTCCTAGTAGAAGTTGCTAGATACCTAAATCAAGAAGGAAAATTGTTTGGTTAGAAACCCTATTTGGTAACAATTGAATCGTGTGGAATGTAAACCTGGTATAAGAGGGGAGTGTCTAAAAGATACAGTCCATGGCAGAAAAGAATTGATAAAGGTCAAGCATTTTAGGACAACAGAAAAAATTCTAGTTGAAAAGCAACGACGACCTATCGGAATGGAGCTCATGAATAGGTGGGAAGTTCTGACACCAGAAAGGTCGGGAAGATCCTGAATGCAGAGTTTGAAACTAACACACGTGGTCTTTGAAAATTGATATTTTACATGCAATGCAGAAACCAAAAAAAAAAAAAAAAAACAAAAAAAAAAACCCTTCCGATAGCCAAAACTAACTGATTAGAACACAACACGCTTGACAAAGAATGTTCCTACCATCTCTTACTCAGCACACCCCCATCCTATTCAGTTTTAACCAAGAAATAGGGGAAAAGGAATCCGCAATCAAATATAGAATAGCCTGTTATTTAAAGGAATTCTAATCTTCCAGCTAATAAAACTAGTCATTCGCATCGACATGGAATTTGTATATCACCACGCCAACCAATTGAGTAATTTACAGCAACCAACAACGAACTCCAAAAATGAACCAGGGAAATGAGACAAAAAAAAAAAAAGGCAGAAACATCCTCCATATGCATCACAAACTAAACCAGAAGGAACAAAAAAATATCCACGTACTCAACATTTACACAAGTAACATGAAATTCACAAAAGTTTAGCATCAAAAGTACAAAGAAAGTAATAAGGAAAAAAAAAAAAAAGGAAGGAAAAAATAAAGGGAGAAATGAAACATTACCATCGGGAAGCCAACCATAACGGCATCGAGAGACAGTGAGAAGCGACGTCATCAGAGCTGAAGCGGTGGCGGTGTGGAATGGCTGTATCGTCTCCAAACAAGCACCCAATTCCACCGGAGACCTTCAGTTAATCAACCATTACACTAAATTAGTATACTAATTCAGATAAAGATTGAAGTATTTTTACAATCGAAAAGAAGAAAAAAGAAAGATAGAGAAACATGTAATAATAATGACCTAAATGCGACGCGACAGGGGAGGGCGGTTCTGGAAGTGGAGGAGGAGAAAGGTGACCGGGCAGGCTTGGCAGCGGAAGCGAACCGAGACGCCGCGCTACGGAACGGTGCTGATCGGAGAACGGATCTGGCGGCCGAAGAAGCGACGGCGATTGTCATTTCTCGTCTTCGATCTTTTTCCTTTTTTTCTGATACTTCAAAAAATCGGAGTGATTGTGTTGAAGTGAATGAAATGCAGCGAAAGGCCCGAAGGGGTTTTAGGTATTCTTTTTCGTTAAACCCTCTCCGTAAGGGACTGTTTGGATGCCCTGATTGAAATTCTCGAAATTCGCATTTACTGTGATAGTAATTATTGCAAGTAATTCACAGTAATAATAATGATGTAGTAGAATGTGTGGGAAGTTTTTGAGTGTTAACCCTTGTTTTTTAATTTGACGACTTTGAAATGTTATTAGTGGATTTTCCCATTACTGTTTATGTTGATCAAAGTACTTCATGTAGACCGTGCGCGAGCCCCAAAATTCTCCATATGCAAATTTATTTACTCCCTCCGTTCCAAAAATTTATTTACTCCCTCCATTCCAAAATAAGTGTCGTCCTACACTTTGCACATAGGTTAATAAACTCTTAAATAGGGTAATAAAATTACTTGAATATTCTCAAACAATCCCATTATAAAATTGTCCACTAATAGCATCAACTCTTTTGAGGGTAATTTTGAAAACTTTTGACAAAAAATATATTAAAATGTGAGAACGACACTTATTTTGAAATTTCTCTGTTTTGCTAAAACGACACTTATTTTAGAATGAAGAGAGTATTTATTTGTTTTTTTGGTATTACATATTAAATCATCACATATAGTATAAAAATTACTCAATCAACCAAAATATATAGTCTACTTTTGAATCTTGTACTTTAATTAAAATTCCTTTAATTAAAATAAGTAGGAATGATGTCCGTGATTTCCATAATTTAACTTATGCTAAAACTAAAACAGTGACTTCAAATATCGATCCAAAGTGTATAATTTGAACCTAACAGTAACAAACCCTCGCCAACAATCTTTGAAATTTTGATCAGAATTAAACCGAACAATGACGATCTAACAACAATTCTATTCCTGAAATTTTGGTCAGAATTAAAGAGACAACAACTAATAAGATTTGCTGACCTTTTTTAGATTTTGCAGAAGGCATTTGATTTCTACCCTTTTTCCCTCTTTTCTGAGTAACTTACCATTTTCAATCAAAGGCAAGAACTGATGAAGTGTCAACCACTAATTCCTTTACCTTACCATTGGAATTACATAAATCGGCTGTGACCACTTAGCCAAAATGAGAAACAGACTTCCCTTTGATGTTACATATCAAGTTATATCCTCGTGAGATGAACAAAATTGCGGTCCAAACATGAACCTCCTCCAAGGGCTACTCTCTTCAACTGAGTAGGTAACAACCCTTAAGAGCCTCTTCATATGCACAGATACCAAACCCAAAATGCAGATAAGCTCATTCAACTTCTTGAAGAACTCTTTTCTTGCGGAAGGCTTGTTTAGGCCTGCTACCCGGAGCACTGTGAGCCCGCCTCCTGTCTTCTTTCCTTCTTTCAGCCTCCATCTGTATACGTCTAGTGGCATCCGCCTTAAACACTGCTTTCGGCAAGTGCCTGTGCCTGAGAAAAGGTAAATGTGAAGGCATTATTTTCAGGACCTGCTTTTCGATGCATATTACTCGAAAATTATAGTTAACGTGCAAAAGACAATTGAAGGAAGATAAGCAAGCAAGTGAATAGTGATTTCTTTCACGGTGCTTATTTTCAGCTTCGTATCTTTCTGGGATTAAGATATTCAGTTGTGTCAAGAACAGGAAATGGCACTACAGCCATTAATACTTCAAAACTTCTCGTAACTAGTAACTTTAGATTGGACATATGCTCAACAATGAAAAAACTTCAGAACAACCAAGAAGAGACTTCTACTATTATTTTGAAATATGCAAGCATGAAAATCAAATACAATCATCCATTTATAACATGCTTATCTGACATACCTGACAATACGTTTAATTTCTGGCAGATGCTTATAACGGCTCTTAACAGACGACTGATATTCGTGCTTTTTCTTTTCTCTAGGTAAAAGCTGCAGTACATGAAAGAACAATATCAGCAAATTAGACGTGATGCAACTGTGCTCAGGAAATAACAGACGCACGCCAAAACTTCTGCACTACAAATCCAGGCTATCCCCCCTTCCCCATTTCCCTGTTCCTCTGATTAATTTACAAAGAGGACAAACTAATATGGCCCTAGGGCAAGCTACATTGGTCGTTTGTGCAGTACTTTTCCAAATATTGCTTACATGGTATTGTTAGTTACTTTATCAAGTTCCAAGTGTATGGTATTAGGAAATTTTCGGATTTTTCCGATGTTTTTCATTTTAAATTTAAATTTGAACTGTTCTAGCAACATGGAAAAAAAAAAAGAAAAGGATTTCAAGTAATTGAATGACACACAACAGGGCATGGAAATATGTAAACTGAAGAACCACTTAAACCCGTCCACGTAATGCACATCTTTACAGAATTTGGATGGTTAAATAAAACTATTAGAAGGAAGAAATTCTTACAACTCCCATTTGTTCAGATGCGTTTGCTTTCCAAAGTCGGAGGTTAGTGTCATCACTCCCTGAAACGACATAGCTTGCATCACAGGTGAATTTGACACAGAATACTCTACATCATGGAGAGTTTCAAGTTAGTACAAAGTTTACACATAATAAAAACCATAAAGTAACTAACTACAACAGACTCACAATATCAAACTACAACTTCATCTAACACTAGCAGGGGAGAAAAAAGAAAAAAAAAAAAGGAAAGAAAAAAAGAAAAAAGAGAGAAAGATACGATGAGAGGTTGCAGCTAAAAAGTTTCAACTCTTAGTTTGGAGGACAACCTTTGCATTCTTTTAGTATGATAGATTTCCCTACTATGGCCACCATTATACTGGAAGATCCTCACCTACAGAGAAACAAAGTTAAGCAAACATGAAAAGATCCACACATTCAAACTACAAAGTCAAAGGACAAGAAAAGGCCGATCATTCACAAAACTTACTGTTCTATCATAAGATCCTGTTACAAATTCTCTACCGGTCGGCGAGTAATCAATATCCATGCTGTAGAAAACTCATGAAGTGTTAAAAAGATAAGTGAAAGGTAAACTTTGTGATGAACCAACAAATCATATTCTCGAATCACAAACAATAATCTTACACTGCAGAAACATGGTCTTGATGCACACATTTAGGTTCATCCAACTTTCTGAGATCATAGCTGTAGCAATTGCAATCTTCATTGGCCTAAATAAGCATGGGGAAAAAACAAAATAAATGAAGTAAGTGAAACCAATCGACGGACACCAACCAAATTTAACTATTAAAAATATTTAAAAAAAAAAACAGCACAAATTCTTTTATCGAGTGATTTAGGATTTTGAAAACCACTTGATTTATTCATGTAAAACCAATAGAATAGATTAGACCCCAACCAACCAAACAAAATTTAGAGAAAGATGAAGATTAAAAGAAAAAGGAAGACCCTCTCATAGCTTAGTTCACATTTTCCTAGAGAATCAAGAAGGTAAATAACGGAAAAAAGGAAAACATTTAAGTGTAATTTCTGTCCTTACAGCAGTGAAATTCATGGGCTCCATTGGATTCCACGCTATGGAATTCGTTTTTGTCTGCAATAACAGACAATCAATTAATATATTTACGCAGGATATTATACCAAATAAAAATCAGGGGAAAAAAAAAACAAATTCAGCATGCAGTTGTGTGGGTGAGACCCTAATCTTCTCGGCGAAGATAACTTTCACAATAGCCACGAAGTTAAAGACAAATCTCTATACTCATAGACCTCAGTTTGAGTACGAACATATAGGTACACCTTACCCGCATTATAACCTTTCTCGCTGGAGAGGACAAACGGAGGTCATATATTGTTATGCTACGATCACTGCAAGAACAATGAAAATATTTAAGGGCGACAGCAGAGGTGCAGATGAGATCCGACTAGCATGGCACATCAGTTCAGAAATGTAAATGAAATTGCTACAGACATTATGAGATGATCAACACAAACACTTTCAAACTTAAGATAACTTGCTTTTGAACTGAGAACAAAACCAAGAAGTTAGGTGAGGTCAGAGAGTAATTTAATTCTAAAGATATGGAAAACTGAGCATGGAGAAAAGAGCTTAAAAAATGGCCCATTGACCAACAAGATTTCAGGAAGGGGAGAAGGCAACAACTGCAAACAACATGAGTCTGTAGGGCGATTTCGTAATAAAAAACCCTCAAGAACGACAAGTTAATTAAAAAGAAAAATTTCAGCCACCGTAAGAAGACAAGCGATCACTCAATAAAAAATTACAATACCCCCAGATACACAGTAAACTTCCCAATGGAAGAGGTCATACCTCCCTGATGTTGCCAGTATATCAGGTTCTCCAGGATTAAACCGGACCGAAATCACTGTATCCTTTCCCCATTCATAACTGTTCACCGGTTGGGACCTGTTTAAACAAATGCAAGACTTTTAAACTTTAATAAAAACAGATCAGTTAATATAGAGAGAGAGAAAAATCCAAAAGAAAACGAGTTAACCTGTTGTGGTCCCAGATATCAACCTGAGCACCAGCAGTTGCAAAGCGGTTATCATCCCATTTATGATCAACAGCCCTAACAGGATCACAAATGCCACAAGGATCAGGTCGATCATGAAAAAACAATGAAATAAATGCAAACCCATTACAGCAGAACGAATTGAGTAATAACACATTAGACCTTACCAAAATGCATTGTTCCATACATATGCTGCCAAAGGCTGCAAAGATAAAAACCTAAGCTGGTTAAATTAAGTAGAACAATATAAACCATAAGGGAGGCAAAATGATACGGTAACTGAAACCACTAACCTCAGTCGGGTCATCAGATGAATCATCTAACTCCATAACGGAAGCAACAGGCACTTTCCAAAGCCGTACACTGAAGAAAACTTGAAGTAAGAAACTTCTGTTCATCCAAAAATTTGACACAAACAAAATCCACTTTCCACAAAAGTTAATCTCTTACGTGCAATCAGTGCCACATGAGACCAAAACTTGGCCATCAGTAGAGGATGTTAAACCACGTACAGCACCTTGGTGTCCAGGGAATTGTCGAACTGTTCGTCTATTTAGAAAGGAAAGCTTCCAAGTCTCAATCTTGATAAGAATCAATAAATCAACAGTAAACTAAAAGTAGCAACCTCTATGCTTTTGAGTAAGTTAGAAGGTTACCTAGTAGCTAAATCCCAGAGCCGAATATCTGCAGAACAACATGAGAAACCCCATTCAATGATAATCATAAGCTAAAAAACGATGCACCAGAAAACATGTTCAGTTGATCTGGATTCATCCAGAAAAAAGGTTTAGCAAAGTACCTCCATCCATAGAGCCGGAAAAAATCCCTTTCAAGTGATTGGGATTTTTCGCCATACATGAAACTGAATCAATATGACCATCCAATGCTCCAACAAACGGCCTCGCAAAAACCTAAACAGAACACCCCAGAAAAAATTTAACAATCAATATTAAAAAGAATCAATTTTAAAGCCGGAAACCAATCAAAAAAACAAGAATTATACAGACCCAGGTACCTTTTCAAGCTTAGCTGCAGTAACTGCACGGACATATTCAACAGCTTTTTCTTGAGGACGAAGAGTAGGGTCAAAATTTCGAAAAACTCTCTGATCAAAACCAAAGTAAACGAATTTCCCAGTTAGCAATCAATCGAGGGTGACTAAAAGGACACCAAGTAAGTGAATCGAGGAAGGAAACTAAAAAACAGAAGCTTGAATACCTGGAGGTCTTGGCTCCGTTCCCGGGTGAATTCATCAGCTGAACGCGAAATCACTTTCACCTTCATCTTTGTGTTTGAAAGGAGTGGTGAAAGTTTAGCGGATTATAATAGATGATAATTGTTGCAAAACCCTGAAAAGAGGGCAAGAGAAGAGCATAAACCCTAATTCATCAGTTGGAAAAGCAAACGGCTCAGTCTTGTTCAATTTAGCTCTTCAGCTGGCTATGTTAAATTACAATACTGACATCAATGCTCAAGCTGCATCCACATTGTCAAAATAAATAAATACAAATACAAATACTTTTCCTTTTCTTGATTTTTCCGTTTAATAATTTAATAATTTCTTATATTCGTAAATAAAATCATTTTTGCATTAATTTTTATTTATGTGTTTGTCAAATCATCGATATAATGTTTTACTCTAAAAAACAAACACTTTGGTTAGACACTCAGACGTTTATATTATTCATAATAATTTATTCTCTCCTTTAAATCTTTATTATTATGGTTGCCGCGTCACTAGTTTTAACTACTTTCATGAAATACAATTTTATGTTGCTTTCTATAGAACAAATAATTTTTGCATCCGAAATATTGATTGAATTTGGTGGATTAAAGGTGAGCTTGAATTGATTTCTTTTTCTTTTTTTTTTTTTTCTGGAATTGACTCTTTTGATGTTAGCATCAAAGGAGCTATAGATTTTGGAATTGATCAGGTTTTGGTGTTCTCATGTCTCCTATAAAGCAGGCTTGGTAGTTGTCATTGGAACTAAATAACACAAGTACATACTCAGTTCGAAGGACTGACAAGGGTACGAAAACGTCAAAGATATGCCTTAAAACACACATCAAAAATAAATTACTCAAAGGGCGTTGATTGTAGAGTTCATCAACGATTCTATTGAAAGGAGAACAGAAAAAAGAGACTCTGGATGCATAATATGTCCAAAAACTGAAACTCATCCAAAGAATGATCTTTTACAACTAGCAAGAATTGTCAACACAGTCGTCCTCGTCCCATCAACCTACTAGTCCTCTCTATAATCTGGATTCTCCTTCAAAATTACGAACCCCTCGAGAATCGGTGAAAGTGGGATGTACTTCTCTGTCGCAAGTTCAGCTCTATCTCCAGCAGACAGAAGTACAGGGGTCGTGTGGGTTTGGAACCCTGTGATAGTTTTTGGTCTACCCGCTTGACCGACAACGTCCACAGCTTGTCCAACACGAACAGGCACGGGAAGAGGCTTGAGGTTCTCATCCACAGTTAAGAGCATTCTCGGCTGTAATTACACGAAGGCAAAACAATATAGATATACATATAAATAGGAAGACTAACAAGGTTAAAGCAATCAAATAAAATAATCACAGCTATTATCAAAGATAGAAATACCTGCATCGCAAGAACGAGGAAGTATAATATATAGTGATACTTCCCTAAAATCATTGCTTTCATATCGAGGCATGCGTGTAATAAAGTAACTAGTCCAGCAAGGGCAGTCCTACAGAAAGAACAAGTAGGGGTACAAGCTTAAAACAGAGTTCAATATAAAGTCCTAAAGAAAGAACAAGCGGGGGTACAAGCTTAAACAGAGTTGAGATTGCAATATAAAGTCGTAAAGAAACAAACCAGGGCTACAAAGCTTAAACACAGTTTTGAAATCGCAATATATAGTCCTAAAGAAAGGAGGAGTAGGGGGTACAAGCTTAAACAGAGTTGAGATAGCGATACAAAATGAGCAACATTTCCTAAAGAGAGCAAAGGACTTACGGGGATAACAAGAAACGTTCAGAGTGGTAGGGAGAAAGGGTTAACAGGCCCTTCCCCAAATGGACCAAACCCTGAGCAATTCGTACCTGCCAATTGCACAACATATATCATGAGTGTTGTCGAATAGTGTGTTAAAAAACTATCAGATTGCATAAAAGAGAAAAAAAAAAAGGGGGAAAAAAAAAAAAGAATACTCACACAGAAGAGGAGGCTAGCTTCTTTATAGTAATAGCTGGACAAATTCCGGAGCATGCCAGCTATTCTCGCATTGTTGGTTCCGGCACCTATCAAGCCCAAAGAGATTATGGCAGCCTGAACAAATCAAAACAAACAGTTCTTAGGGTTCTAATTACCATTTGGAAGTATGAACCTTCGAAGCACCAAGAAAAAAGAATTTGTAAATTACCATTGCAACTTCAGAATCAGAATCATGGCTAAGTCTGCTAAGGGTGTCCATGACATTGACCTATAAAGAGCAACAGGTAGCAAAAGTAAGATGCATAAAAAGACAAATGAAATAGGAGCTTTTTAGTCATTTTATATCAATCAATCCCAGAACACCATAATTCTTCCACTGAGATATCAGCCAGATACAAACCTTAGGGTTTGAAATACAGAGTAGACCCAAAGCCAGAGGAACTGCTTTCCTAATATTCTGCTCGCCGTACTGTAAGAGATGCTCCAAGGAGCGAATAGCCATTTCAAGCCCAAGTTCTTCAGCCATTGCTACCATTGCTATTCCCAATACAGCTGGACCCTGAAAAGTTTCACCCTTCTCGAGATGTTGTGCACACTGACCCAGGAAATGTTGAACCTACATCAAAAGAACAATTAAGCATACCATGATCATATTTAGTTGCCTTCAGAGTAGCAAATAACTAGGTTTAACTTCAAACCTTAAGAACATTTCCTGTCCCCGCATAGGCACAGGACAGCAGAGTCATGTCACAATGCTTCCGGATCTTTTCATTGAAGGTCTTCGATACCTCAGCTGTAGCCTCCACACTTTCCTGGAAATGACAATGATGCAGAAGTTACCACCATGTAACCAGAAAAAACATAATCTTGGTAGTGTACAGATCTGGAAGGTTAGATGTTCAAACAATAGCAACCAAGTTCAGAATACCTGCTTGCCAAGATAGAGCAGACCAAGCCCAAGAGGTAGTAGTCGTGAGAGGGGATCACTTAATTCAGCCTCGCTCCGGTCCATCAACGCAAATATGATTGCTTGTGCAATATCTTCATTACAAGAACCAACAAAAACTATACCCAAGGAGATGGCAGCAAATGCAATCACATCGAGGGTTGCCTTTGCATCCCCGAGTACAGGAATGAGTTTACTCCGAATCTGCCAAAATTTTAAAAATAAGAAAAACGTTTCAGTAGTAGTAAGATGTGCCAACAAAATAAAGCAAAAATCGTAGAGCACTTAAGACATTATGAACAAAAATCTTAAGGCATTATGAACGAGAATCAGCCAACACATGAACTCTAATTCAATGAAGTTTTCTGCACTACACAAACAAAATCCACTTCCAAAAACTACCCAGAGTTGGAACAATGTCAACACATGCTATACAATGAAAGGAACCTTACTTGTTCATTCTGAGAACCAGCATATGCAAGTGCTAGACCCATTATAGCACCTATTCTGATAGAAGAATCTTCTCTGTCAACATAATCGGCCAGAAGTGCCAATGCCTGAGACGGTAGGTTTTACGAAAGTCAGGATACAAACAACTGCAGAACAAATGACTACTTTTGAGTCAAGAGCTTCTGGGAGGAAAGAGAACTCACGGGGTCACAGTCATTCTTGACGCCACAATTTACAATTCCAACCCCTAATAATGCACCTGCGATAACAGGTGTATCGGTGCTGTGAAAGTACTTGTCAATTTGAGCTAGCCCAGAATCAACATCCCAGAGCAAAATCATACCCTAAAGAAACAAGACAACTCATGAACAACACCAGCAAATGAAAATTCTACCAAGTAAAGATAGATAAAAGGCCACACATACCAGGCTAGCTGCAGCGCTGGTCTTTCCATGATCTTTGTTCTTGTAAAGCCAGTTAGTGGAAGAGCCACTTGAAGCTTCCGATGTAACTGTCATCAATTTATCCTGGAACATGAACAGATAAGCTATCAGATTAAAGATACAATCATCAATTTATCCTGAAACACATGCTCAAAGAAGCTATCAGATCAAAGCTACAAGAAAGAGCAACCATCCAATTCAAAAACTTTCAAATCTTTTTACCTGGCCAAAGGCGGCATTTACAAAAGCATTCACAAATGTCGCAGCCAAGTTCTGTCGGGCTGAATCAACACTAGCTCCAGCGCTTGCTCGACCATCAAGTAAGTGAGCCTAGTGAAATTAGGAAGGAGAGCCATAGCAATCGATTGAAATGCAACAAAATAAATGCATTGTTAGCAAGAGTGAGAAAACATAAGTTAACAATATGCAAAAAAAAAATGCATACTTTAATCATTTGAAACAAAGTATCACTTTTTATTACTTACCTTGTAAATATCTTCAGGGGATTTTGGTTCCATGACCTCTATATCACGAGCAAGTGTAAGATAACCTTCATTCAATTTAGTATTGTTAATGATTTCTTGTAGTCCCTCCCTCTCTTCATCATCTGCACTCATCTCTTCATCAAGCTCAAAAGTAATGCCCTGAAATCAATTCAAACGGAAAAATGATAACAAGTGACACACACGTAAACACTGGACAAATAATCAGCAACTTGGGGATTTACTCCTTTCCAATATAAAATTGACACGCATATGATATTTTACAGCAGCGAATGGAAATTGTGTTTTGCATAGATTCTTTTTTCCAGAGAATAACATATCTTAGAACTCACCTGTCGAGCAAGCATGTAGCAAAACTGCTTCTTTTGCAAAAGGTCGTTGCACGTGGTAAAGATCTGCTTCACATACTGCAACAACAATTTAAAACGTCAGGACCAATTATAAAATGAGAGAGCAAACTCAAAACTAAATTAAAGCAACATACAAAACACAATAGAGATGTTGAACAACTACATAAGACGTTGATAGTTTCACACAAACTTGCATGAACAGATTACAAGATAAACAATAAATTGAACTCTAAGAAAACGTAAGATGATAAACATACCTGCATATTATCAAGATACAAAGCTATCTGAAGCGCACGAGTGAATTCTTCAAATTTCATGTAAATCATGTATGCAATATCCAAAACTAAAATATCATCCGGTCCTGGAAGGTATCTGTAAAATTCAATTGCAACAAATTAGACACCACATACAAACCTTTGCATCCATAACCGTAAGGATAAACCCACAAATAATGAAGTCATGCACAATCATTGGAAACTTACTTGGCCGAACTTGTGAGATACAAGCAGGTCCTTTTGAAATTATTCTTGTCCCCATGCTCTACCAAGAGATCTAGGTCTTCAACCTAGAGCAAGGAGAAGAAACTTAAAAAGAATTCAATGGCACAAAAGGAACTGAAAAAAACATATAACAATTCCAAAACCAGCATTCATAAGAATTTTTTTACCTCCATTAAAAGATCAACAGCCTCTGGTTCAGCATTGTGCTGAAAATAAAAACATAAAAACTTATCAAACTGATGAGAAACAGGGGTTAGGTAGACATGTTGCAATATCAACGTGTCTAATACCAAGCAGCGGACAAAGCAAAATGGTAGCTATGCATTCAAACATGTGCATGGGAGAGTATGATAAACCGAAAAGGAAATACACAAGTCACAAATAAAAGTCTTAGAAGCCTCTTGCCTGCATATGAAAAGCTACAATTTGGTGCACAAGCTCCATTAAATCATCGATGGGAGCTTCCTCACTCTGTCAATAGTAAGCAACATTAAAGGTAAAAAAACAAAGCATTTCAGTTTCTACAATTATCAAAACCACTATAAGCACTAGAACAAAAACTTTAACATCCGCGAAAGAATAAAAGCTCTTACCTGACGCTTGGCATATTCTTGCGCAATTTCTCCAGCCAGGTTCCTGCAATAATCAAATAATCACCCACTTAACTCAATACTTCTGGTAATAGTCACTTACACAAATAAATGAGCAACATTAAACTACAAAGAAAGAGGATCACATGAATAACAAATGCAAGAACTTTTGAATAAATGAATTTTATTTTTTAAATTTCACTTTATCTACCACTGATATGCTAGTTTTCCATCAAAACATCCTATTTGCTGGAGCATTCTGCATCTATCATATCAATATAAAATATGATATCCTCCACTGTAACTATATGATCATACATATGAATTCTCGAAATGCCTTCTAAATGGGGTATTAGTAATTCAGGGCAACGGATAAGAAGCACTAAAGACCAAATATTCATTTAGATCCAACAAAAGACCACATAGATAGTAATATTTTAAGGCATGTCAACATTATCTTCACTTTCAATTTCAAGCAATTTTATATGACAGGATGTCATTAGCGATTATTAGTGCCAACCATATTTCCACTCTCTTCCCACACATTAACCAAACATTTATAACAATAGAACAAACAAACCCACGATTTAAGAAATTGATACATAAGGGTGCTTGTCCTCTTAATGAAAGACAACAATCACGATTTACAATATCATAAAGACCTAACATGATTTTTTCAATGTGAAATAGATTAAGACTGTAATTAAGATAAAACTATCATGGCAATCACTTCAAAATAACATGTCCATCTGTTGGTACAAAGAAGAGAAGGATATCCTTCCAGCTTACCTAACATACTCATGTCCCCAAGAACCAATATCACCTTCAGAACCCAGTAACCTGTACTTTAAGCTCTCCTGCAAGTATAAACGTATGAACAAATTAACATTCAGCTAGAAAGGCTACTAGATAATATCCATCAGAATACAGTAATGTCCTATTTCATTTTGAGGACAAGACTTCATTGGCAAAAAGAAGGGCATCCAACAGAAGAGCTGGAGTAAAGGACTTATATGGTTTCAACCGATTTAAATCAAATAGCAACAGAACATACCCTTTCTCCTTCGGCAGACATTGTCAAGGCTAAAACAGATAGGATATCTGCCAAGAGTTTCTGTAAAAGAAGAAGCAATGAGAAAAAAGGTTAACAATGTCAATAGACAAAGAAAAGGCATACTCCCAACAGATAATGTTATGAACCTTGAGCTCTGAATCTGCCATGCTTTCATAAAACGCTTTAAGTGTTCCATAATGAGGTCGTAAGAACTTCAATGGTTTTGGAACTGAAGTCATGGAGCTTGTTGCGTTCCTAATTTCTTGCCTGTAAAGAATAATTAAAATGCCATCAGTAAAAGGTATAATCTCCATTAGCAGAATCACCCCAATCTCTATCAACAGGATACCATTAGAAAACCTATGTGACCAGAAAAGGAGCATTCAAAACAGGACAGAAAATACTGAGTTAAGCATTCACTGAGCCTGGGTGATCATTCAGAATAGAAAGATGCAACTATTCCTAGAGCCAGCAGCAAGATACGAACTACCACAGCTTTGCGAATTGTCTAGCACTGATAATCTCACGAGTACCATCGGATGCAGGAGATTACAGGAGACCAAAAGAAAACAATTTCCCTATGTCACTTGTGCAATGAAATTTGCATATAACATACATTGTGGCAACATGTCAAAGGTTAAGGGACAACATGATTGTTGCATTTTGTTATTGCAGCGTATTGCAAAGCACAACTCACAATTTGAACCTTTTGCAAGCTAAACAAACATAAAAAACTATATTTCATCACAATGAACACACTCTAGCAAGATTATTCGGCTATTAACGAAGCAGAAATCTATACTCCACCAACATCTCCTCAGCCCCAAAAACTACACAAGCCCAAAAGGAAACCCTAATCTGCTGCTATAGGCACTGGCCTCCACTATTAAACTATGAACAAAACATTTTTAAATCAAATACCCAGAAGCGAACCTCCCAGCTCCCCTTCCCACATATGTATCGCCATTGAAGGATACAATTCCTCAAAGAAAGTAAAGGAAAATAAGGCAAAAAGTAACCCAGAAAATGAAAACAAAACCCTACAATCTGCTATATGCTACAACTAACAACGAACAACAAGCATATACGAAGGGGGCCAACCTCATGCTTTCTAGGGCAACCTTCTGCAAACCGGGATCGGAATCCTGTACCCTTTCCACATACAACTCCAGCTGCTGCTTCAGGGCTATATCCTCCTCCGACTTTGCCATAAAACAAAATAGCAAACGAAATTCAAACTCACGCTCCAAACAATAGGCTAAACTTCTAAACTCAAATACGAAATCTGAAGCAAAATCAAATCAGAGTAACTAAAAACGTCAACAAAAATTCGGAACATACAAGATCTTCATCCTCTTTCTTGACACCCTTCTCGTCCTTCTTCTTCTTCAAAATTGCATCCTTAGAGCCGCTAGTTTGATCGCCGCCCTGGGCCATTCTTAACCCTGAACTGGAGCTCTGTGAAGAATTTGGAGATTTTAAGAGATTATTATATATCGGAAGAGTATCGCAGCCCAGAGGGGTTTATAGAGTTTCTTGTTCGACACTTCGATGAAGTTTATTATTTATATTGTTTTCTGTAAAGAAAAAGAACAAAGAAAAAAGAGCAAGGAGCTCTGAATCGGGTCGGGTAGTCCCAACCGGAGTCCAATTGGAATTTGGATCTCAACCAGTCTTCTTCGTTGTTTTTTTTTTTTTCCTTTAAGAAAAATACAGACGTCTCTTCTGGGTTACTTACTATCACTTTTCTCATACTGATACTTGATTGAGAATAATGTCCGTCAAATAATACATACTTTATTACAAATTCAACAATCTATTGTAATTATTTTTTAAGAGAAGTAATTACTAAATAAATTTTCTTTATCCTTATTATACTTAATAAATTTATCCTTATTATACTTAATATAAAGGCACAGTAGGCGAGAAATTAAATGCCCAAGAAATATTTAGGGTCACCTTCAAATTGATCTCGTACGTCGGATGGCCTTGATATGACGTCAGCGACTTATTGGGGGCAAAAAAGAGAATGCATAAATTTAATTTCAAATTAATGAATGAGAAAAAAATCTGAATTTCTAAAGGCACAGTAGGCAAGAAATTAAATGCCCAAGAAATATCCAGTGTCACCTTCAAAGCAATCTCGTCCGTCGGATGGGGTTGATATGACGTCATCGACTTATTAGGGGTATAAACGGGACTTCATAAATCTCAATTTAAAAATTCTGTTGGATTTTGGAGAAAAAACCCCAACCTACAAAACGACGTCGTTTTGGATAATGTCATTTTTTGGACATAAAATCCGTAAAACTTTTGGAGAAAACCCTTGCCTTCCAAAAAAACGTCGTTTTGAGTTTTAAGCTTTAAAAGAGCTTATAAAAATAAACTGAATTTTTACAATCATTATTACCACTGTCATCGCTCTCCCCCATCCGCCATGACCCAATCAGTTCCACGGCTTCCCATGGCATCCAAATCAAAATCCAGACTTTGGATTCGAAGTTGATCGTGCGGCTGAGGTGTTGGTGGTGATGGTTGTCGGCGAGTTGGAATTCCATCCTGATTTGTATTAGGGTTATAGAAAAAGAATTTCCTAATTGCCGGAGAAAAATTCAACGTGGCTGACAACTTGAAGCCTTCAAGATCTCATCCTTAATTGGACTTCCTGGTGTTTGTTTTCCTCACAACCAGTGGTGATGGAGTATCGACAACCGGTGGTGGTGGTAGAGCCTTGTCATTGGAGATCTGCTGCCGCTATGTTTCAAGTTAGTTTTAAGTTGATTTTTATTAAATTTGTATTCTGATTGAAGTACAATTAAATATATAGTTCATTTGAGATCCTCTTCATGTTAATTTTCAAGCTTTTTTTGTCAATTACTTGCAGAAGCCATGAGTTATCTCTTCATAGTTTGTTTCGATGCATAGGACGGACTTCAATAATTAGCTTTTTTAAAAAAAAAATTCATCCCAATGGACCCCACTTAAATGTGGGTAAAACCTCCCTTACAACCCCTGTTGGGAATCGAACCCTGGTCTATTATTAGGAAAGACAGCAACCTAATCACTAAGCTGTCATTTAATTCTCGACTTCAATAATTAGCTTAAATTTTAATTGCATAGTAGAAAAGGAAGAACTTGAGCAGCACAGAATCTGAGTGAAGCTATTAGCATATCAGTGTTCCCATTGAAGCTAGAGGCAGAGCTTTTCAACTTTAGCAAGCGGTAATATTTTTGTTCCTTCATTATGCATTCTCATACTTTTGGATTACAAAGATAACTAAATTTATTAGGATTATTAGAAAGCTGTGAATCGGCAGTATATGGGCTTATGTGGCACGCACCGTTTTCTTTTTCACTCAAGCAAGTTTCCTTCGTTCACTTCAGGCAAGCACATTTTCTTCGTGAGAACAATCTCAATCAGGTTTTCCCTCTTTCTCTCTTTTTTTGCTTTATTATTCCCGTGTTCAAACATTCTTTGTGGCTTATCTTATGTTCATTGTTATATGTTGGAATTTTTCTGAAGCGGAGTAATTTTTCTTGGAATTAATCCAAGGATTCTTAGAGGTTGATCTTAGTTGGGTGAGATGTTTCCTATATGTTGGAATTTTGCTGAAGTGGAGTAATTTCTTTCTAAGTTGTTTTTATCAGTGGGATAAGAATTAAATGGATGGAGATGTAGAGTTAACATTTATGAATAACTATTATAAGAAAGAAGTAATTTTCAAGCCTTAACGATGGTGAACTGCTAAAGTTAACATTGTTGATCAGTCGCCTACTAATACATTATTCTGCACAATGATAAGAGGAAAATCCATGTCTAAAACATTTATTCCCTGCAAATGATTCGCTCTGCGAACATCTATTCGATTCTTCCATGCTTTTGGTTCTCTTTGAACTTCGTTTTGTAATCTCCTTTCAAAAATCTGTGCGCATATGTTGATGTTATCTTGGATTTTGCTTTGGTTTGCTTGATTACAGCGTTTCTGTTTTAATCAAACATGATAGTTGGAATTGATTAATTTAATTTGCTCTTGCTCTCTTGCTCAAATTTGACTGAGCTGCTATTGAGAGGTCTGGCTAATAATGTTGTCTTCAATTAACGCTTGTGTGCAGCATATCTGTGTGTAGTTGTGACTTGTGAGCCCTTATTTCTAACGAAGTTTTAATTTTATAGATGGGTCGTTGGTATTGGGACGGTAGTTGAAGAGGTTAACGAACCAATTGCTACTCTTCTGACCAAAGACTAATATACGTCGTTTGATTCCCTTAATGAAGGTCTCATTAATTTACGGAATATATTAAGAAAATTATGGCCTTGTACCATTTCTGTAATGGCATTTTGTCTACTAAAACAGCTACTAAAAATTTCACTGGATGGAACTTAGAAGCTTGCAACTACCTTGCACAAGGTAAGAGTTTTAAGATCATACGCAAGATGACAGAGTTTTAGTTAGTTTCCTTGGCATGTGACATGTGTAACTCATTTTGATATAGTGAATAGGTTTTGCAGTTTGTGATGTGGATGCCTTGATTTTCAAATTTAATTTATATTAAGAGCTATGTTTTTTTCTTGTGAATTTTATTTTAACTGTACACAAGAAAATCTCAAGCATAATCTGGACAGATTTGGCAATGAACTTTTGCACCACCACTCATTTTTGCTGCTCTATGTCAACTTTTAGGTATAGTCAAGCTGGGGAAGTCAACATCGTTTGCG